TACCATGGAGAGAAAAAAAGGCGACGAAGTAATCGCTGGAGAAAATGTGCCGGACACCCATTTCTCCCTGTATCTCTCCATCTCTCCGTTTCCTCCCTCGACGAGAGGCAAAAGCCAGAAGTAAAAGGGGTCGGCGGCCTCGGTGGCGTAAAGAGAAGAGCGAGAAGGGCGGCCGGAGAAGGATAAGAGGGACAGAGGAAGGCAGGGAGGGAGGACCGAGTGTAACGAAGCTCCGGCTTTTTAATTGGAATATATTCAGAAAGCGGTACGCCTTTTCATTCGCGAGCCGACCCGATGCGATGCGCCGTGAATGCGACCCGAATCAAGCGCGGAATCAGCCGCCGGGGGTGCTCGCGAATATCCGCGCGCGGGACGCGTCCTTTCCTTCCCCTTTTCGCGTCATTCATAGACGGCTCAACGGCGCGTCTCAACGACGCTGAAAACACGCTAAATGGGAGTATCGCAGGGATTTTGAGCTCTGTTTGCTTAAATAGACGTCGCTGTCTCGGCGTTGCGGTGTGTTCGCGGATGCCGCGTTCGCTCGTGAATATGAGGCCAACTAATGACCCGCGCGGCTCCTCCACGTGTGCACAATCGATCGGCATTGTGCAAATACGAACGAACGAGGAACTCGTACAGGAGCTGTTATTTACAAGCGACACGTTGACTTCTTCCCTCTTTTTCTCTTCTTCTCCTCTCCCTTCTTCACCCCTCCTTAAATTATCATACGTTTTTTTCTCTTTGTTATAATTTTTATATTTGCATATCTAGTTTTGTTCTTATATTCTTACGTTCAGTGTTGGTGGGGGATTGTATCCTATTGTATACAATTGAAATATATTTTTTAATTATTACGCAATTTCTTTATAAATTTAATTTTTTTATAAATTTAATATTCCATTAAGATATATCGCCATATCGCTATTGTTTTATTGAAAAATTACAAATTAATTGCGCAAACATTTATCAATGTTTTATAAAATATCGATATTCCTGCATATATTTTTTCAAGTACAGCCACATAATTGCAGTATTACAAATTTCATTTAGATTTCGTCGTTTAATTTCATAAATGCTTTCCTATCGAAGTTATTAACCATACATTACCAATAGCACTTTTGGGAAAGACCGGTCTGTTTGGTCTATTTATATCTTGTAACTTGTTTTTTAAGATTTCTTATTTTAGAAATTTGATGTTATTTCCCAGTGCGAAATGACTTATCGATCGACATCGAAAACACGTCGAATCGACGTCGATTTGACAATTTCGACGTCGATTCGATGTCGTTTCGTCGTCGATCGACGAGTGATTTCTCACTGGGTTTAATAAAGTAGTATCAAATAGAATTCGAAAGTTACACTTGAAAAATGGCTTTTACTGAAAGAAATAAAAGAACTTTAAAAATTAATAATAACTGATGAAAATCAATTGAAAAATCAAATGAAAAATTAATAACAATTTTCAATTGTTTGAAAATCAATTGTTTATTTTAAATAAGTAAACTATAATTATAACTGTGATTACATATATATATATATATATATATATATATATATATATATATATATATATATATATATATATATATATATATATATATATATATATATATATATATATATATATATATATATATATATATATATATATATATATATATATATATATATATATATATATATATATATATATATATAGTTCCAAAAACGCTCTATTAAATAACATAAGTAGAAAAAAAGACAGAGAGAGAGAGAGATCAATCATTCTTATTTTTAGAAATATATGCCGAATTATTAAAACACTCAAAGAGTTAAAAATGCATCGTAAAGCTAAAAGATACTGGGTGTCTCTGAACGGTTGGCAATGTGTCAAAAGAGTGTCACCTGAGATATCTTTTCGGAGGAACTAAATTGTTCTCAAATATCGGAACGCTATTACAACTATTTGTATAAAGAACACAGCGCTAACAACGCGTCCGTTTCTTTAGGAAACAGTCCAGCCTACGGCGAATGCGACTTAATGGGCTGTTTGCTTGCAAATTGCGCTACCGCTAAAGGGCAGCAAACAATTCACAACTCGTTTTAACTTCCACGTTTCAATCCCAAGAGGCGACGAGCTTTTCTTGCGGGCGTCACATTTACATAATTGTCTCTTATGCTCTGTTTCTCCGACGAGCGATTTTTCCCTCGCTGCTTCCAGACCGCGATTTCTCTCGTAAATTTGCCATTTTTTAGCCAGCGCATCAAAGTGCCAAGGAACAGTCAGCTATTTATCGATTTTGTTTACTGACTTTTATTACTCACGGTACATAATTACGAATTGTTCGTATAGGTTGTATGGTTTATGTAAGACCGGTTCTATATTAGTTGCAAATCACAAGGTTGCAAGAAAATTAACCAATCATAATTGATCATTCTTCTCGCGATTAAAGAAAAATTAACTGTGATTGGTCAATTTTCTTGCGACCTTGCGATTTGCAACTAATGTAAAATCGGTCTTATAGAAGAAGTTGACATTATGTTGCTAACTTTCCGCAATAGTGCGATAAAAATTGAAAGGTATAATTGCTTTAAAAAAGAATAAAAGTTCTTGAAATTTGCAAAAATATTTACTCACGTTTTGGAAATAGAAATACAGAGATTGCGAAAAAAGCGCGATACTGTGTGATTGATTCTGTTGTGATGCTAAAATACACGCGCGATCGTAAACATTCACTACGTACACAAAAAATTTGCCCCGGGTGAGGATCGAACTCACGACCTTAAGATTATGAGACTTACGCGCTGCCTACTGCGCTACCGAGGCGATGATAGAAACGTCTTCATAAGTGTATTTCACGATCTTTGAATAGGATTAATGAAATTAGATTGATGCAAATCTATTAATTATATTTATTAATGAATAATGAAAATGAAGAATTAATTTAAAGTGCACGACGCATATACTCAGTTTCCGTACGGAAAAAATTACAAGGAAACTATAAAAAAAAACTGCTGGAGAAGTTTTGCAAAGAAATTACTAAAAGCACTATTAAAAACTATTATAATATTATTGTAAAATATTGGAGCATTGTTGTGGAATTATTATAAAACTATTAAGTATCTATAAGACTATCTGCACAAAAATATTATACAACATTAAAAATCATAAGAAGCTTTCAATTATGTTGCTAAAAATGGTAGCGATGTTATCATGACCTTAAAATGTTGTTTTCCGGGACTTAAACCTTAAACTAAACCTTAAACTCAAATATGAATACAAGATTTTTCGTAGTTAATTCAACCCTTACGAAAAAAAATACGAAAAAATTTTCAATTTTGGGTGTTAACACTCAAATTTAGATGTTTATTCCCAATTTTTGGGTGTTTACACCAAAAATTGAGGGTTTTTTCATTTTTTTTTTCGTAAGGGAAGGTTGCATTGTGGTTAAATTAATATCATTTCAGTATCAAAATACATAATTACCTTATTATCTTAAGCTACCTTTAGAGAAAATTACTTTAAGTTGTTTAAATTAATTTAAAGTTACTTAAAGTTACTTAAAGTTATTTATAGTTAACTATCTTAAAATAATTTTTCCTAAGGGTATCGTTTTAATAGTATTAACGTGCCACTCTTCGATAGAGAAAATTATTACCACATTGTATTCCCATGCAAGAAAATTTGGTAAAAGTGGAGTTTAAAGGACTCACCTCTGATGATTTTGTCCTTGATTATATTATCAAGGACACACTATTGACATTCAAGAGAAATATCCACCCGGATATATCCCGGATATAATAAGTCATATAATAAGACATCTCTTATTTCGAAATATGATTCAAAAGCCGGTATTCATAGTCGAATCTTATTTCAAGACCGTCTTAAATAATGTCTGAAGATGCGAATACGGTTCTGTAATTGGTTCATCTTAAGGCAGTTAAGATGATCTTAAATATAAGAACCGACTATGAATACCGGTCTAAAAAAGATCAAACGGTCTTTCTATTTTTATGTTGTATAACTCAAGGATAAGTCGAGAAGTCTTATATTTTTTAAATTTAGTTGTGAAATTTCTTACATCAAATAAAAAAAAGCTGTTGACAGAAGGATTAATCGAATTTAAGAAAACACCGATAAGGTGATCGATCCTGTAACTAATGGAAGGTTGAATTAATGGAAGATTGGTAGATTCCTTACCCGGGTGCACTCTATTACTAGAAACACTATAGTATATATTACATATACTATAGCACTTCTAGTATTAGAATGCACCCGGATAGGGAATCTGGACGCACCTTTGAATATCGTACACAATGTGAATTCTCCATTAGTTGAAAGCGTCAATAGTGCTGTTGACGCTTCTGATTGGTTGTCGCGACAAGCACTGGCTGCGTTCAGCAGAGAAAGCTGCTTTGCAACTGTTGTAAAATTCGTAAATCTAATTGGAGCATGCTCTTAATTTTGGTTGAATCTAAGAGCATGTACTAATCAGATTCATGAATTTTACAACAATTGCAAAGCAGCTTTCTCTGCTGAACGCAGCCATTGTGTCCACTTGCAACCTAATGTAAAACGATCTACTGCGTTCCGATATTATCATTACCGAAAATTTATAGTTTATTAAGGCCCTTGCACGTAGAAAAATTTTTACCATAATCGTAAGATCGTAAGAAAACTAACCAATCAGAGTTGATTATTCTCCTTGCGTTCGAGGAATAATCGATTGTGATTGGTCAGTTTTCTTACGACCTTACGGTTACGGTTAAAATTTAAATTTTCTACATACTTATGCAGGATTCACACCGTATCGATGTCCGACGTACGACGTTTGATATCCAATAGGAGAATAGCTTTCTAATATAGAATTCAATTCTCCATTGGAAAACTATTCTTTTATTGGATATCGACGCCGTACGTCGGACATCGGACGCGATGTGAATCCTGCATAAGGTTTGTTCGCGTCGCATACTCCAACGTCCTCCTACTCGCTCGAACGCACTCTGATTGGTTCACGTCACCATTATAGATTTTCGTACTGCTAGTAAATATCGGAGCACAGCCATAGATGTTTGAAACGCTTGAAACTACATATTGAGAGAGAAAAAAAGAAAACAAGGATAAGTTACTCCATAAGTGTTTTTGATCCTGTCACTCTGCCATAATAATAAAATACTTATGCTCATTTTACTCGTTTTGTAACAACTGCAACATGACAGACGCGAAGAGTTTAAAGGAAGCCATCGAGCAGTATGAAGTTCAGGTACATTAAATAAAAGCATCATTATTTAAAAATATTAGGTTTGTAACGACTGTTTTTAGTTATCATAAATTGTTTATTTGCATTTACAATTACACCTGCAGCTGTCACAAGTAAATACAACATTGTCTGCGACGCCAATGGGCTCTAACAGAGACAGTTTACTCAGTCTAAAGTCTGACATTGAAGAATTGATCTCTTTGACAAAAGAAAGTTTGCAAAGCCTTGAGGAAAATAATGCAGAAGACAGGGGTGAAGATGAAGATTCTGATGACAAGACGGAAGATCCATTAGACAAGGAATATGCTTTGTTCAAGGTTGGCTTTGATTAAGACTACTGTTCTCTCTACTGTCACGTCTTTGCTATCTTTCTCATAGCTGATCGTAACTTTGCTAAAATTATTATATACTATTGTTGAAAAATTATTGCATACTATTGTTGGGAAATATGAAGCATGATTTATGATACAAGAGTCTGTTCCAGCATATTTGTATAATTTACAAGAGTTATAACTTATATATTTGGTATGTAAAATTATAAAGACAAAGGAGTTGAGTTGCTTGACTAAGGATTGCTTGAATTTGTTAGGCAGAATTGGAACAATCTTCAGATGATGAAGAAAGTACCAAGGAGGATAATAGGACTGTCCCAACCACTAGTGGCATTGAAGTCAGTATACAACTATTCTCTGTCATAACAGTGACATAATTATACGGTGCAAGTTGATCTTGTAGGATGAATTAAAGCAACTAGAGGGAATGAAATGCAAGGCCCCTTATGGCAGTAGTTGGGGTGGTACTGGTTATCATAATGCTATGGTATGTTCTGTTTATGGAAACAGTAATGAAGAGATCAAAGATATCCATGACATTAAGGTAAGTCAATATCAATGATATACATTCAATTTTGGCAAGATCGAATAATAATTAATCAGTCGATAGTTAAGAAAAAATAACAAGTTTAAACTATAAAAGTTAATTTATAAAAAATTTGTTAAAAATTATTAATATTTTAATATAAAAAAACATAGTTCTGGTTTAGATAGCCAAAAAAATTGGAGGTTTTTAAAAATATTTCTCAAAGAAATATATAAAGATATCAATACAGGATTCTGATCGTCATTTATCAATATATCTTAAGTACAAAAAGTTATTTTTTATTAAAAAGATTGAAATACTATTGGCTAGGTGTTTTGTGCTAAACATGATTTTTATGCTAAGCCAGTTGTCTTTAACTGGTGGACAACATTACAGCTAATGTGATAATCTAAAATAGAGTAAAAATTTGAAGAACAATTAAGTTTGCTGGAAATATAAACCTAAATCTTTTGGAAAATTTCCAAAATAAGTATTTTCCCTGGGACACTAAATAAAGACAGAAAAAAGAACGTGTAACTTTGAAATATAGCCATTTTGTTAAATTTCAACTTTTTGCATATAACAAAGGTTCATTCTCCAACAAATTTAATAATACTGTTTTTAAATTTTCTTGTCCCATTTGTTTCAGATTATTTTGCAAGTTGTAATGTTACTCATTAATTTGAGGCATTTAGCAATACCGCTGGATTTATTACGATTCAGTAACAAACTTGGACAGAATTTTAATGTTTTCATAAAAAATAATTTTTTGTATTTAAAATAATGATAAATAGTATGATCAAAATCCTATATTGATATCTTTGTTAATTTCTTTGGATAAGATTTGTAAAAACTTTATTTTTTCAGCTACTTAAGTCAAAATCATGTTGTTTTGTTAAAGTATTAAAAACTCTAAATTAATTTTAGATGTAAATTAACTTTTGGCTTAAACTAGTTATTTTTAAATGTATTAACTTTAGCTTATTAACTTTTGTTATATAATCAATGCTAATCAATCTAAATCATCAATATAAAACCATTGCAGACTGTTTACTTCAATGTAGAATGAAAAAATAAAAAATATCGCCAGCAGGATTTTTTCATCTCTCTGAGCGCCAGAGTCCTTTTCTTGTATTGAATTCTGTGTATAAAACAATCTGTATTGTTTTTATAAAAGATTACTTTTTCATTATTTTACATAAATTTACAATTGAAAAGTTAATTATACAAACGACATATGCTTTATATAATTAATTTTCGACTAAATTAATTTTATAAGTTATTAACTTTTAAATTTAACACTTAATAAAAACATTAATTTATCCAACCCTGAATTTTTTAACTTTGAATTTATTCTTTCTCCTTTGACTGCCAAAGTTAATTGTTAATTAGATCCGGGTCTTCTTTCTCAATCCAACGCACAAGGAAATGATTCCATGCCCGTACTTTCTTGATGGAAGTTGCAAGTTTTCCGATGAGAATTGTCATTATTCTCATGGCGAAATCGTGGCATTTTCGAGTTTGCAAGAATACAAGTACGTCGTCTCTTAATTGATTTATAAGTCTCGCAAACGTTGAAAAATTATATTTGGTGCTTCTTGCGATTCACAGGGATCCTGATTTTCACAACATCAAAATGGGTAGCCGAGTATTAGCCAAGCAAAAAAATAACATGTGGCATAGGTCCGTTGTTTTAAAACTACCTGAGAAAGAGGAGGGTGAATATAGAGTCAAGTTTGAAGCAAGTGGCAAAATTATAGAAGCGAGCTTACAGGATCTGCTGCCACTTGGTAAATGTGTGCTAAAAATTATTTGATACATTGTGTGGAGTCTTCTAAATGTATATTCATTACGTTTGCAGGCGACGCGGACTTGGAGATGTCAGATACGTCTGACGATAGCGACGAAGATGACGCCGGATCTAATTCACTGTCACAGTCGGACGTTCAGTCAACTCACAAGTCCCTCCTGACACTACAAGTGGATGAACCTCTGGGAAATTGGGAGCGTCATACGCGTGGCATCGGCAGCAAATTAATGATGCAAATGGGATACGTAGTCGGCACTGGTCTTGGAAAACGGGGGGACGGTAGAATACAGCCTGTCGAAGCCACAGTATTACCAGCAGGAAAATCGTTAGGTTCGCATTTGACTTTTCATAGAATCTATATCGCCATTTATCAAGCCGCTGACAGTTATCGTCGTCTTTTCTTGTTCAGATCACTGTATGGAATTGCGTGAATTCGCCGGCGGTGACAAAGATTTGTTCTCTGCTGAGCGCAAGATGCGCAAACAACAACAAAAGTTGGAGCAGCAGAGAGAAAGACAGTATCAAAGAGAGAAAGAAAAAGAGGACAGCAATGTTTTTAACTTCATAAACAAAACTCTAGGCGATAAACGTGAGAAAGAAATCTAATATTCATTGAAATAAATAATACAAGATGCGCTTAGTAATGACCAATAGGAGAATTGCGCTTAAATATATTCATTATTTTACAGCTAAAGAAGATAATACGGCCGGTAGTTCGCGAAGCAAAGATAAACTAAAGGCGGAATCTAATTATAATCTAAATGTAGCTAGCTTTCAAGTGGGAAAGGACATAAATCGATTGGAAAGGGAATTGTCGAAGCTTAAAGAATCAATGGCGAGGCATACTAAGGGTAGTATATTTTACGATAATATCGCAATGAAGTATAACGAGAAACAAAAAGAGCTCACTAATCTGAGAGCTTCGGAAAGGAAGATCGTCGCCGAACAAAATCAAAGGAAGGATAAAGCCAAGTTGACTATATTTTGATACTGATGAGATAATATGCGGTATATATATATATATATATATATATATATATATATATATATATATAATATGTGTGTGTGTGTGTGTGTGTGTGTGTGTTAGCATGCTGTATATAAAGTAAGGCTAAATAAAATGTATTATCTTCAATGTATATTAAGGATGTATCTAATATACAATCGTTAACAAGTGAAAAACGAAAAATTTGAATATCTGCTTCAAACGTGTTGTAAACCTAGTGATAAGTGATATAAATAGTGGCTAACATAATATATTTCTTATTTAAAAAGTTATTTTTTTACTTTCTCAACAGTTTATTACTTTTATTTGCTTTTTTCCAACTTTCTGTTCTTTTTCAACTGGTCTGTTCTTTTCAGCTGCACTGCTGAACTGGTGCAATAAGTTAGAGTGAGAAAAAATATACTTGTCTCACTTTAACTTATTGCACCAGTTCAGCAGTTAGCTGCAAAGAACAGACAGATCACAACAGTTGAGTAATTTGTCAATGTAATTGGTCTAGATTTAGGGATCTAAGAGCAAGAACCAATAATCGTTGATTGCTTACTGAGCGCTTTTTCTACTGAATGCGCCCTATAGCTCATGTCACGTGTACTATAGAATTTCAGCATTGGCAGTGAATTTCGGAACGTAGCCATATTAAACAAGATGGCTACCACCAGTATCAAGTATGTATAAACGTGATTTACAGGATGGTGTATAAAAGACTCGATTAAAATTTCTTTAAAATATAACATGTATTTTTTGTGTTTATTTGTGTAGATTAAAAGTTTGCGAAGTCTGCAACACAAAGAAGGCAAGATATACCTGTCCGAAATGCGAGGTTAGAACGTGCTCTCTCGCATGTGTAAACATTCATAAGAAGGAACTAAATTGCGATGGGATTCGAGACAAAACGAGATATATTCCGCTAAAATCATTCACGGATTTAGATGTATTAAGTGGTAAGACATCTATCTTTTTCACTTAAATTATTGTTCATCAAGAACATATTGCTTCTATAGTACCTGCAAAAAATAACTGAAAATTAAATATACGCTCTAATGTTTCTATTTTCCGTATAATAACATATTTTATACAATATATGGTATTGATCGTGTATTTTTTCCTCAGTATCTCTGAAAAGTATCTGTGAAAAGTGAAAAATTTCAAATTTCATTATTTGAAAAGTTTGCAAAAATCGTCGAATTCACGTGAAACTTTTTACTTTTCATGTTTTTGCTTTTAGGAAAGTCATGATTGCTACCCAGTTCAATAACAATGTATTTTTATTTTATCAGTTTTATCAATAGCTCTATTATTTTAGTATTTTACTTTAACAACATATTTTTATAGTCTATTTACTTTGTTATATATTATTTCTATCTTTTAAACTCTTATCTTTAAACTGCAATGAAACTTTGCATATATTATTATAAATACTTAAAGTATATATATAACTTAAGTTTTTTGTCATTATTTTTTAATCATCTTTTCGTTTATTAAATACAACTAAAATACAATCAGATACTGAATAATAATATCATATTTTCATAACAGCATATTAAGATATCCATGTAGTAAAATAATATATTAATGACATATAATTAATGTTAAAGAAATCATTAATATCCTATGTTATTACAATATCATTTGACATCATGTTTGCTGGATTTAGCTAATATAGATTAATCTGTTCTTTCAAAATTTTTTCATTATTTTTGAGTTGTCAGCAATACATCCTTAAAATAATAATCTTGTAAGATTTAATCTGTTTTGTAGATTATCGTCTTCTCGAGGAAGTAAACAGATCAATTGATGGATGTAAAAGAAATCCAGCAAAGAAATACACACGTCAAGGTGTACCACTACCACCAGTAAGATATCTTTATATATAGATGTACACACACACACACACACACACACACACAATTTTTAAATATACTATTACATATAATTATGATATTCTTTCTTCTAGTATTTATACAAGCTAAAGTCCGCTGCGCATTTTAGAAAAACGTCTCTGTTGTTTATGCCACAAAACTTTAGTCGACGTAAAACAAATTCTACATATCTCAATTGGAAGACTAATGAGCTTTTCTGGCGAATAGAATGGATCTTCCCACAAGCAGACAACATAAAGTGGATAATGAAAAAGTACTGATGAAAACTGATACTGATAAGTACAAATAATTCTCCCTAGAAGTATAAACGGATGATTCATGATATGTATTTCAGGACTCTAGAAACTACGAAACTATCAACACTTGTGAATCAGGTTTTAGATCCTGTCTCTTCATTAAAGGGAAATGTTGATATTACAGAATTAAATGTAAAACTGTCCAAGACATTGGCTGATAAATTAAAGTTTTATAAAGCAGCTGGGTTAAATAATCTTAAAGTTCTTTTAAAAGCCGAGAAGGTGAAAAAATCAAGTTACAGGTAATTCAACAAGTATTTCTTATATGCGCGATTAATGAAAATATATTGAATTTCTCTTAATTAATTTAACCACTATCTTTTCTCTTTTTAGATTCTATGAGTTAGATTTTGCACTCACATTAGAGGAAAATCTAAAAAACAAGACTATAATAGAATTTCCAACATTGTATGTTATTATGAAGAATCACTCTGATATGTATGAAGTTATAGATACTGGTAAATATCGTGTGAATATTGTAATGATACTATCAACGTGGTATAATAAATCTGCAAATTTCCATTTTTAGATGAAGAAAGCGACACGGAATGCAAAAGTCGCGTAACAAGGGAAAACTGTACTGATAATGCTACTAAGAAAAAGGAAAGTGATCCAGTAAATTACTTCTTTAACGATTTCTTCGGATCCGACGATGAGGATATAGATGACAAATCATGCAAAAACAAACACTCAACTGGTTTTGATATACCGTATTACGAGGAACTGTCAAAGACTAATACTTCGTCTTTATGATGAAAGTGGTGTATTTATTATTGGTTACTACTACTATAAATATTTACGTATACTCATATTTTTATTGTAAATACATCATTGTTATAGTTTTGATACAGTTGAGATACATACAAATGTGATTAACACTAACGATGTAAATGGCCGACTATAGTACACGTTTTTTTTTTATTAGTTGCCTTTCCTTTGAGAATATATATATATATACCTGCATATCACCCAAAAATATAACCACAATCAATAATAAATATATTCTCGTAAGATTACCAGCTCACTAAGGATCACATATATGCTGTGTGACTTAAATAAATATGTAGGAATGAGTAAGATACGAGCAAGTCAAATCATTTTCCTCTTCACAACGAGGATTGATATAATATTTTATCTGTTTAGCATTTGAAATCAATAGATTGATAGCAATTTAATATCATCTTAAGCAAACTATAAAAGTATACGTATGTATATATATTACACAAATAAATTCACTACAGTACATTTTAAAAATCCCTTCGCACAATATAGTTTTGTCTTTTTATTATAAGAACACTAGAACGATTCAACAGAAATAAGATGTAGTAAAAATCGTATATCTCTATTCATTCCTATATTATATATAACAAAAGATTTGTTGGATCTAGTGTCATTGCACAGCATTAAAAAAAAATGTTGAATGTATTATTGTAGAATTACACACCATATTTTTATATAGTTTCAGTATAGATCATGCTTTGGATATATCGGTTGATTTAATTCTATTAAAATTTATATATTTTTAAATGTAAAGTGAGAATTTTCTCTTTCTTTTTCATGCGACAATGTATCAATGTAGACAGGTATTAAAATGACCAATATTTCGTAATTACTAACGAAATTAATTCTGTCCTTGAAAATGGAATATTCTCAATGCATACTGAATCCTTTTACTTGTTTGTTGTTTAACTAAAGAACAAAGAAATACAACAGGAAGACCAGAAATGCAATGAGGCCTGCGACAGCTTTCACATACATAGATTTGTTGTTTAGGTGTTTCGCGTCTTTTTTATATTTCTGAGACAACATAGATAGATTTTGCGTTTTCGTATCCAGTTCTGGAAAATACAATTAACAGATATTAACATACGCAAATATATACATGTGTTTCCTCTTTCGCGGAAAGGAAGATAAATTCTGCTGTGGAACTTTACCTGAAAGTACGGTACCTCTTTGCAAGACATCATCGATATTTTGTACCATGATTCTCTGCACATCTTGCAGCTGAGTATTAAGCGTGTTCAGATTCCTGCGAGACCTACCGTCTGAGAAGACTTTCTTTGCTTTCTGGATATATGTATCTAACAAGTAAATTATATAAAGTAGTTGCGTACACTCAATGATATGTTGACTATGATGACTCAATGATGACTATAAGGTGTTACTTAAATACTGTTCAATATCTTACAAGCAGGCAGTTTAAGTGTAAATTATGATACATATGATATAAAATATAAAATTTATATTGCTATTTAACTTTTTCTATTTTAACATTTAGATATAGATTTCTGAACATTATTTCCTAAATAAGTTTCCTAAAGAATTTATATATATAATTCTCTAGTTATATTCTTACTTATAAAGAATCAAATCTACTAATTTGTCACACAATGAAATAATAAAAACTTCATGCAGTTTATTCTCTCTCAAATGTTACATTTATAATTAATATCCAAAACAACTACAATATAATTATTTTATGATTTAATTACTCTTTTTTTGTACATTTTAACATAATTTGTAATATTTTATATAACTTACATTATCTAAAAGACAACTGTGTATTCATTTGATATATATATATATATATATATATATATATATATATATATATCATATAGAAAATATATAAACTATCCATGTAGATGTAATTTTGAAATCTATAGCATCATCTTGATTTTAAGAGTTAATTCTTGAGATCATTTTATAGAGAAAAGTTCATATGAACATATATGACCTCAAATAAATAAAATAAATTGTAAATACTGGACTACTAAACATTTCTAAACTTTTAAAATATTGGACATAGAATGACTCAACAGAAATAAGAAACCGAAAAAGAGCAAAAAACAGTATTTAAGAAATATCCTGTATATTATTCATAACCTACCAAATTCAATAAAGGTATAAGGCCTGGTTACTGTATTTACACGTTTGCCATACTGTGCATGAAATTCTTGCGCAATATCTTCCAGATAACTATAAGCTATACGTGTACTATAATTCCTTTCGCATAACACCAGATAACAGACTCCATTTTCAATCAAGTAACTGTGGATATACATAAAATACAAATATAATAGTGTATACATACATATATAAAAGTATATATATGTATGTATATATAAAAATATATATGTATGTATATATATATATATGTATAAAAATATATTATAATATACAAATAAATAATATATAAATATAATATGAATGGGTAGACACATATAAAATATGTGCAGGATAGACTTAGGTGTTGTGTTACATTCAGCAATTGTTGCTCACTGAAAAAGATACGGTCCAGTTTCTAAGGTACATCTTGTTGGAGATTGTGGAGCTAGCTTCCTGAATAACATTTTTGCTTGATTCTGATAGTCCAAGATGCTTTTGCCACTCTGAAATACAGAGCAATTTTTCTTTATAATTAACTTTCTGCTAATTAATTTGCAACAGACTGCTTTAATCTTTGGTTTTTCTGTGTTGAATAAATTTCTTGATTTCCCCACTACCTTGTCTCCGAGAACGGAGCTGAGATTTTGCTAAGAAACTTGCATATATTCTTTAACGAGAGTCGATCGCAGAGAGACGCAATGCCTTTAACAGTAGAATGACATTTCATCATCATAACAGATTTCTAACCTGTTCGTTCTCCTGCATGGTGGCTGCCAGCGGGAGACCGTCCGATATCCTCGCGATCATCGTTAGAAGAACCATTTTGCCAGAAGCTCACTGTTGATCACTACCTAAAACGCTATGGAAATGAAAAGAAAAACACGTCGGTCGTCGTCGCGCTACTACGCGACTTCAAATTGACTTCAACGTCGACAGGCCATTCGCGCGAAACTGATCGTAGATGTGGCCACTGGATCGCCGCGCGTCCACTCTCAATATACCACGTGTCGTTTTGAGGGCACTGGTGTAGTTGTAAATATCGTAACGTCATCAGAGAACACGAAGCGCGGACGATTGTTTAAGTTAATTCTTGTTGAAGGCACGTGTGCGTGCAAAGACACGCTCTAATAATCTACCGAAATTTAGCGTGGAGAAAAAACCTAAAAGTATCCGCAAATATACAGGTTGACTCGCTTCAGTTTACACTTTCTTACACTTTCTACGTCCAAACTGAAGTAAGCATATAATCGAGCTTTGGAGGAATGCAGAGGCAAGAAAGAAAGTGTACGAAGTGCAACGAAGGAGAGCAATGAACGCTTTAATTTGAGACAAATATTTTATCATCTGATGTAAGAACGTTATATCCCTCGCCGAGAAAAATATTTCCCACGCTCAGGGTGAAAATTCGTCACTTCAATATTTATCAAACGATGATTCACCGAGAAAAATGACGTAAGAAAGTATAAAAAAGCCATCATAAAATAATTAAATCCCCGCCATTGCTTCGAGTATTCGAGAGTGAGCGAGTGAATAAATGAGAGATAGAGGGGGCAGAGTGAGTGAGCGAAAGAGAGAGAGAAAGAGCAAAAGAAGAAATTCTAGACAGAGAACGATAATGGTAAGAAAGGAAAAGACGAACATAACACAAAAAGTCGTCATCGCCGTCACTCATGATCGAAGCCCGTGTGATCACACATGATCGCACGTAGGAACGTGGAAGAGATGTGATTATGAGGGGGCGGAGGGAGAGAGAGAGAGAGCGGTGAGCCGGCAGCAGCGGCAGCTAGCGACTGCGACGACGAGTGAGCGAGCGACGTCTGCCATCTTGATCGTGACGCGCAACTCAGAGGTCGCGGGTTCCACCAGTGACGAAGCCACTGGAGTTTTGACGTGGCTGCTACGTACTTGCCCGTCTGCCCACTCCTATTGCAGCAAACTTGGTGACGAGAAATACGTAACCGGGTAAGTACCCCAGCTGGAGAATAATAACAAGGCGGCAGGCATGGACCAGCGCTCGCTCTCTCTCTCGCGCACGACGAAACCGCCCGCGGCGAGCCGTTCGTCGCGTACGGAGAGGAGAACGTTTCCGCTGTGTTTTCTCTCGGCGTGCTCGCGCGCGACCAGCCGCTTTTGCGTCTGCTGTGTGACACGGATGCTGCGAAATATGGCGCCGCGGCAAGAAACGTGCACGTAATCTCTCTCCCGTCGCTCCGTGCCTCCCGTGCCGCGCGACGGGGTTACACGCGACATCCGTCGTCTGACGTGCTCCGACACGGACGTCCGCGCGGTCCCGCGCTCCCTGGGAGTTACGCTCAGTCGACAGAATTCACTCGCGTCATCCTCGAGATTCGCCGTGGCTCGTTGGGAGCGGAGAGTATCTCGAGTGTTTATTGTTCCACCCGTATTATTTTTAGACCTGCTTATGTAAATGACGCAGTAACTGTCGGATTGTTCGTCATTGGCGGGAAGTTCGAATCGTGTCTCGTCTACCCTACCGCGTTCGCGAAGCGAACACTACTGCTGTGAGGACTTTGCGGATAAGAGAGGAAGGAACATGTGCGAACGTTTGCATTGTGCCTTGTTGTTCCTTTTCGTCGCTTCAGTGCGGAATCAGTGGGATGATCATGAAGTTTTTTCTCTCGTGTGAACTCGTGAAAGTGAACACTTCTAAGTGACTTTAAGTTATAAAATTTTCATTTTTCATGAGTTTATTCCGGAGGAAAAGATTCACAATTGAATCCCAGAAATAACATTCAAACATTATTTCAAAACTGTTTTTACATATGCTGGATTGTTTGTCTGACTTAAAAAATGGAATAGGTATATATTTGATATTTAGTGAAAGAGAAGAAAACAAAGATATTTCAGAAAGCTATAAAGAACAATATTGATCATTTTTGTCCTAGTATAAACTCATGAACAGTGAAAAGTCTCATTGGATTTATAAAAAGATTCATTGAATTCATCACTGAAATTCCATTTTTCAACAAGTAAAAAGTTACTAATAAAAGTTAGTGATAGTATATGTTCATTGTGATGTTATATATGTTATGTTATCTTTTATATCTTATGTTATCCTTTATATATCTTTTATACCTTATGTTATATATCTCAATTGAAAAGTACCAATATATCTCATTTATAATGTAACAACAATATTGTTCTTGCTTTGTTATTGTATGGTTATTATATATATTCTTCTATAGTTTACATCAAATAAGATTGGATATTTCCATTTGAACAAAATTTGTTTATACCAGATATGTAAGTTAAAGTATGTCCTCTGTTGCAGAGCTCGCGAGGTAGCCGGGCTATGGAAAGTATGGTTGAGGAAAATGGGTCAGCAGTCGATCCATTATCCCAGAGTTCCCAAAGCGGCGATGCTGCACCAGCAATTGCTACATCGGTACAATCTCTCGATAGAACGCATCAGCAGCAAACTCACCACCTGGTAGCTTCTACCAGCATTGTGCAACTGACACTACCTTCGTCAGGAACAACACAGGTATACAGGAGGTTCTCCTGTGTATCTATGTCCAATAAATAATTTTCTTTCTCTTTATTTCGGAGCATGCGTATGATAATTTGTTTGCCTTCCAATTATGATTATTTATACAACTTATATATATATAATATATATAATATATATAAGCAATTAGGTACCTGATCTTGCATAATGCTGGTTGTGTCTCAGGAATATGATATTTCTTGGAGATTATTTTTGTCCTTAGATTGTAAGATACTTTTGGAGATACTTTTGATAGATATAATATTCTGAAAGATATACTTTGTACATATATATTTCTAAATTTTGTATTACAATCTCAGTTCTTGTAGTACGTATACACGTGCGCGCATTAAGAAAAACAAGAGGGATTATATATATGCATAACATGTGCATTATTCCTTTTTATTGTAACGAATCGTTACAACATATTTTGTTGTAACACAATTCGTGGATATTCCCTTGTGCAGTGTTATATATTTTACACACTCTTTATCTGTATATTCAAGGAGTAATAATCATGTATGTATGTATATGTACATATGACTGTAATTTAAATGATGCAAAATAACAATGTTTTGTGATATTTGATATTTATATCTTATATAGGTACAATCGGTCATACAACCCAATCAGCAGTCTGTAATACAAACCGCTACAAACATACAACCTGTTGCTATCTCTAAAGGAAATGTTATTCTGGTTAGCAAACCTAATTCCGTTATACAAACTGCGCAAGGCAATTTACAAACTCTACAGGTAAGACTTATGCTACAATAGAAACACGTCACAAAATTCTATTTTCTGAGATGATATCTGCTGCAATGATATTGTAACAATTTTATTTATATACACACGTATATATACGCACGCATTTAAAATCTAAATAATCTCGCTTTTACCTTCAAGGTGGTAGAAACCGGTAGTGATGATAGCTTCTCAGACGACGAATCGCCTAAGAAGAGAAGAGACATCCTTACTAGAAGACCATCCTACAGAAAGATTCTCAACGACTTAGGCGGTGGGGAAATTACAGGTAAGATGCATTCTTAGACATTTTCTTTCGAAACTGGCACGTAGATGCTTACATCACGCGCGACAGGAATGTATACAATAGTGAAGATATACAATCGTCAGCTAGATTATCGCGTAAACGTAAACTATTACTAGTACAATTTGCTTAAGGAATAGCTATGAATGCAAATTGGAGTATCTCAAAGGTAAATGCTTGCGATCTAACTCGATTATATGCGAGATGTTTAAGTGCATGTCAGTTCATACAAATTAATAATATGTATATGCGAGATCGGCAAACAGAAAATATAGTAACTTCCATATTTGTCTACTTATATTTTTGAAAATCGTATTTAAAAGAATCAATTATAAGGTTAATTTTATTAGATTTCATTGATCCTCAAATCACTCATGCTTTTTCTTTCTTTTAAGACTCTTGGTCATGTTGAATTGTGACTTCAGAAACGAGAAATGACATGTTAAAAATTGTTACGTATTATTTCCAAATAAAAAGATATTTCTATGAAAAAACATTTTGGATTGCTTGAGCATTGCTCCAGCATTTCATACTTGAAAATGCTGGAGCATACTAAAATATTCTGAAAACTATCCTTTTTCCTTGATAGTCAATAAAAATCATGACAAAAGATGTTAAAGAAGATGATTGCATGTCATTCATTTTACGGTTATTTATTGACTATCAAGGAAAAGGGATAGCCTCTGAAGTATTTCACAAGTATGCTTAAGTGATCAGAATTGATCTCTTATACAAATGTATTTTTATTTGGAAATAGCACGCAAGAATTTCGGCCGTGTGTTTTCTCGTTTCTGACGTCATCAATCCAGAGTTACACGACGAGTATTCGAGTTTTAATCATCATATTCTGATGTATATTAATATAATTTGTCATGTGTATGCATATATATATATATATATATATATATATATATATATATATATATATATACTTACACATGACATATATATGTTAATAACATCAATAAATTATATTTTATACAAATATTTGATGTGCTACAACTCTCTAGCATTTTTCATTTCAGATTGCAAGTAATGAAAGCTCTTTTTAGGCACAATTTGTTTTCGCGCATTATTCCTTATACACTTGCATTACATATACAATAAAAGTATGCCATACCAAGCTCGTACAATACAGGATAGTGTTACAAACGATAAACCATTGAAAGCGGACTCAAGGTTGAAATTTATTTACCGAGATTTTGGGAGGAACTTTGCACAGATAATGCTCCTCTGACCATTACCTCGACAGCATATTAAGCAACAATAAACTGAAACAAAGTTCTACCGGTGACAAAAGGTAAAACCCTGTTTCGGGCGGTAAAGAAAATAAGGTAAAAGCACCAAAAGTAACTATTGACCCATTTGACTGAAAACAAAAAGATAATTTCCGAAGACACACCGTTAGGGCGCACGCACGTTTCCAATGTGATACACTATGTTCGAGCAAGCTACAACCAATACAGGAAAGAGTTTACACACAGTGTACAAAAAGAGAGTACTTACACACACGTTAGACTGTACATTATCTACACAACGTTCTCCGCTACTCGCTCGTCGATCTTATCGTTCGATACCTTCTGTATATCCTTCTTGCTGTATACTCTATATTTATATAATTCGTGAAAATAGATCCTGATAAAATAATCCCATAAGATATATCATTTTAGCAGTGCTTTCTGTTAATTCCACCCACGGAATAGCTCAAGCTCCTGTTTGTGTAAATTGTCATTGTCTAAAAATTAGGTCGTTCCTAATTAATGTTAAAAAATTGATCGTCCTTGATAAGTGTTTCTAAATATCGTCATTCCCTATTTCCTTTTTGTATGAGCTGACTGCACGCAGCGCAACGACAAGTGTACGCCTATAATCAGCAGCCAGAAAGGAAATAGTTCAATCGATTGTGGTCGTGGATGCAACAGATGCAAAGTCTCGTTTCTTTCGTTTGACTCGCTGTTTGACAAAACTTTCTGGGTGCAAACACTTGCATATATATGTAGAACGATTGCGTGATCCGGGTACTACTTAATAGGCACTTTCAAAGTTTGAAAAAAAAAAGAAAAGAAATTAATAAAAACGTTACATTACACGTAGAATGACGCACACACGGCATTAGCTATACCGGTCAACGAACTGATTGTAATGGGGGTTTGGGTTGATTCGGTGTTACAGACGGTCGTTTGCCCCCCTTAGAATCATCTTCCGAGTGTGATTCTAACGTGGACAGTGAAGTGTCTTCTCATTCGCTCCATTACCAAACAGGTTGGTTACTTTATCTTCTTTTACCGTATCTTTCCCAGTTGTTGTACTATCGGTGGTTTGTCCGTATGTATACGCAGCTTTTTACATTCCACCGCATTCCACCGAAGGAGATGATGTTAGAGGAGTAGTATTTAATTAAGAAAAAAACAAAGAAGAAGAAGAAGAGAGGAAAAGCATTCGTTCGTTCGAGATTCACCCTCACAAATGTCTTCCATCCCTGTGTGTACTGCCTAACGTGATATCCCTCATTTTCTCTCTCACGATACTCGCTTGGTGTGGCATTCTTGTTTATGGGATGATATATCCGTTAGTCGGTGAATTCGACACGCAGCAGAAAAAAAGCTAATATCCTCGAAAGAACACGAGGCGAATATTGTACGAAGATTCGAGCACAAAAACACATATCACTGTGTCGATTTCATTAAAGAAGATGGCATCCTTTCTCAGTGCATTCCTAGCGCACGGCGTATCGTTAGTCAGAATTTGGCGAACGATTTCCTTTAAGATGTTAAAAATTTTTTATATAATCTGTTTTACAGTCATTCCCGCCGGTACCATTCAAATTGCGACCCAAGGGGAGGGAGTCCCGGGGCTTCACACATTAACTATGAGCAATGCGGCGACACCGGGTGGAGCTATAGTGCAGTATGCACAGGGCCAGGACACACAATTTTTCGTGCCAGGTGTGCTTTTGCATCATTTTCGAGATTATCAAAACGCTAACAAAACAAGATAAATCGTTCAGTAGAAAACTGTGAAAATTTGTGAAAATATACAATGTAAAAATTTAGAAAGTGCAGTCTGTTGCAATGTTCCAGCTTATACAGGTCATGGGGTTGTAGTGGAGGATGCGGCGCGGAAGAGAGAAATGAGGTTGCTCAAGAACAGGTGAGCGATGATAGAAGCGACAGAAGTGATAGGAACAAAATTTACTACACATATAGTAGAATTAGTGTGAAAAATAGTGTAGAGAAGCTCAAATATTTTTTAGCAACATTTTCTGTGTTAAAGGAAAGAGAAAAGGAATCAATGTTGTGCTATGTATACTAGAAAAATAATTTCACCTCTGTTTTTAATGTTACAGGGAAGCGGCCCGTGAATGTAGAAGAAAGAAGAAGGAATATATAAAGTGCTTAGAAAATCGTGTTGCCGTCTTGGAAAACAGGAACCAGACGCTAATCGACGAATTGAAATCGTTAAAGGAACTGTATCAGCAGAAAGCCGACTGAGATTGGTGCTTAATATCTGCGACAAAACAGTGTATCAAAACTATTATCCAGTCGATAAACCTGTACATGTCTTGTTTGTGTACATTATCCTGAATGTTGCTATAGGGGTAAGCGATGGTGATGTACATGCATTCTTATAGATAAGCGTTTCTCTGTAATATACTGTATTTAAGTAACGAATACGAAGGCTTGTGAAACGTGCTGTTACTAAAGCGGGAAGCCAAAGGTATATGAGACACGGAGGCAACAAACACGTAGGCAATATTTGGGAATATCAGTCTATATTTTGGATAAATATAGCAATTAGCGCATACGTGGTGCAGTATATTGTAGAGTTATCTGGATACTACATTAGAGTATATAGTTTTATGTTGCCGATTCTGCTTTTTTCAGTGTTTTATTTTACATTAATAGTACTTGATAGTACTCTCATTGATAGTACTTTATAATAAAATTTACTTAATAGAATCAAACACGATTGATTATCGTTAAAAATGATACTTTATTATAATAAGTAAAGGATCCCTGGAAAAAAGAAAGAGAAAAATAATTATTATGAAGGAATAGCGCTTTTTTATCGGGAAATAAAGACTTAATTTAAGACTACTGTTGTGTCCAAATATTTCTGCAATATATTATGCATAATTCGAAAATTTGCGTAATTCGACCTCATAACCTCGAACATTTAGATCGCATTAATTAACTTAACTAACATGTAATATCGTGTTTGTTTAGCGTCACCGTCTGCCATTAATATGTATTTCGTTGCAAAAGTAACGAGATCATAATATGTTAACTACGAAATTCGATCGTGAACGAAGATTTTTAAGAAGAAAACTATTTGAAATCTGTATTTTCAAAATGATGAAAATCATGTTAAAAAACTAATAAGTTAATAAGCTTTTAGATAGGGTTTCAATATTTTTCGGGTCTGACACTAACCGGATATTATTCGGATAGCAAGTAAATATGACGCTTCAAGTTCGGATTTTAATATTCGAGCGTAATTGAAGCATCGAATCCGAATTTGGGCACCTATTGTAGATACGATGACGATACGAATAATTTGTTCAAAGACGATGTGGATAATGATAGTGACAAAGCTAGCAACAGTGGTGATCAAGATCACTACAGTAGAAATCTAAACATATTCAGTAAATAAATAAACAATGATTTTGATACGTCCTGCGCCCCGCCGCAAGGACTTGATTCAAACATAAAATTTGCGTATATCGATATTTACATACATCAATGAATGTTTAATCCATAATACGTGCTCAGATCTCTATTTTGGACCCGAATCTCTTCTTATAGTCTGAACTTGAATTCGGACAGTACGGCTTTAAGTTTTCGAATTAAAATCAATCTCAGATAATCAGATAAATATTCGAATACTTGTTGGAAGCCCTATTTTAGATATAATTTTCACCTTTTTTAAAGATAAATCCAAGTTTTTGGAAATCTTCATAAAATTTATCATTACATTAGTAATTATGTATGCTCGCCTGAAATAATTGAAGGGTTAAAGCCTCAGACACAAGACTACATGCAATTTGAATCATATAAAATGTGTGCCACGGATAATCTTGAATTAAATAAAAGTATATTTCTCAGAATATGGACAGATGTGGCACGTATAGCTGAAAAGAATTGCAAGTAGTAACAGACATGTCTGCATCAGTAGATAAGTACTGAAGCAATAGGCAATTGTATTTCTATCAATCGCAACTAGAAGCAATTGGAAGTATATTTGTGTTTTATAGAAATCAGCCTCGTTACTTTTGTGACAGACAGTGTATGTCTTGATTTCATAAAAAAAAAAAAAAAAAAAATGGAAAGTATGCAATGCAACGCGTCTCTGACGAAGTAATTCGCTTTTGAATAGGCTCGCTTTGAAATTCAATATTCTTCTATAAGAAGATCTTGACGTACGTAGAAAACTGTAAAGGTAGTTATGTGATGACGACATTCGAACTGTATAAGCCAAAAGAAAAAAAAAGATGCATCTTTCCCATTTCAATAATGCCTGTATCGCTTGTCCGTTTGCTGTATAAATGCGCGTATCAGGTATTATTATTGTCGCTTTTTGTAAAATGAGTAAAAATGATCCTGTTTTGCGTCTCGTCAGAATGCCTTGTTCATTCAACGCTGGACAACACAACTTGTAAAATATTGAATGTAATATAAATCAGGAGTGCCTTGAAGATTTCTGTACACTTGTGGTATACGTATACATATGTATGGATGCAAAAAAGAAAAAGAGAGAAGAAACGCGCAAACGTATGCATATGTATGTATATACGTATGATGGAAATTATGTGTAGGTAAATATGGGTAGATATACATACATACATTACATACATACATACACATACATGGATATATATATATATATATAAATATAATATTTTTAAACTATATTATTAATATAGTTTTATGTACTTGACACACGCAACTTTACGAGGAATGTATTATTTTTTTGGGAACTCGCGTTTCCATGTAATCTCATCGTCGAATGGAAACCAATTACTGACGTGTAATCAGATTTTCGCGTAATGTATCGTGAATAACACGCGTGATCCTACCATGAGGTAAAAAATAACGTAAAAAACTCCAATAAAGAGGATAATTTTTTTAACAAAAATATTTGCAGTTGGTCCACTGTGAATTTTTTTATTTGACACTTTATTGGTATAAATAAGCTTGAAGGTATTATACAGCGTATATTATTAAAAAAAACGCTGACAATTTCAGTTATAATAATAGCGGAAATTATTTATACCAGAATAGTTATGTGTAGGAATCTTTTTCAAGACATTCTCTTTGCCATTTTTTGAAAATAAAATACACGTTACATTAATACAAACAATTTTCAAGTTCGCAAACGTGTAATTAATAAATCTATAAAGTTTTAATTCTCTTTCGAATATTTAGTATTAAATAATCACAAAACATGCTTTTCTGATTTACTTAACTTCACGTACTGGTTAAAGAATGAACTAAGAAGATTGAAGACAATTGTTTACACGAAATTGCTTCTTAATGTTTATGAAGGCATTTGATAATGAAGAAAGCTTATGTAGTAGTTAACAAAGATAAAGATAAATAATTATTTTCTTGTTTGTTGTTGATCTTTTCTATAAAAATATATAATTAAATTTTTATAAACAAATATTTACATTCGTATAAAATATACGGTCTCATGCGATATTAGGTATATGAATGAATTATCCAAATTTTTTAGCTAAATTTTAGGTTTATTTAAAAAGAAGAGAAATTTTTTAATGAAAATATTCGCCGTTGCTTTTTATAACTTGAAGCTATCTTTCGGGCAGCTTATGGATTCCATCTCGGAAAAATACTGCGCCTTTGGACACGACAAAGTCGTCGAGCCATTTTCAGGTATCATTCACTATTTGGAAGTGCGTGCCGGACAAATCGTGTTGCATCGACTGAAACAAGTGGTAGTTGAAAGAAGCTATGTTTAATGAGTATACCGGGTGCTATAAAACGTCTCAGCCAAAATATATTTTTGTTGAAATCAATGAGTTGACTAGTCACAGTCGATGATTTTTCTTACGGTCCAACAATCAGCGACTGTGATTTGTCAATTTGTTTACTACTTATTTTATTGCTTAATGTTGCATTTCAAAACTTACGGATGTCACTGAGGCTCTTATTATTTACATGTTAATCCTCAAATCAGACTGTTATTTACAACATAAACCGGAATCATGGGTCTGTTATGTTTGCGTTTTATATTAAGTAACATTAATGTGTTCAGAAAATTCTGAAATAACTTTCTTCACGGAAGTTTATTGAAGTATTAATTGAATGCTCAAGTCATTGAATTAGATAATAGTTTATTCCGAATCTATTTTGTTTAGGAGAAATTGTCTATTAGTCTATTTAAAAAACTTAGTTTTTCGAAAATTGACTCTTCGAAAGTTCTTTGGTATAGAACCTATAGTTGAAGAAAAAAATTACGGGTCACTAAAAAAAAAAAAGGTAACTATTAGGATGCACGAAAACGGTATATTATAGGAAAGAGAGATAGAGGCACATTAAAATTAGAAAAAAATAATTCGTATATTTTTTATTTTTATAAAATATATAAGAATATAAACATTTATAAGCACTGCAAATACAAGTACAAAAATATTTTATACTGAGCTTAAAAATAATCTTTCACAAGAGGTTACACAAAAAACCATTTTACACATTTTTAGGCAATGTACAGATTACTTCATTGGCTATGGAGTATGTCTGAAGATAAATTTAAGATGGTTTTAAATCTAAGATCTTTAAATATATAAGATTATGAATACCAACCATAAAAATATCTTTAAGACATCTTAAATAAGATGTCTCTAAAGTAAAATATTTATAAGATATTTTTAGATAATGTCTGAAAGACATCTTATTTAAAATGTCTTTTAGACACACATGTTGTCTAGGTCTTACCGATGCTTGTTATTATGCAGAATACAGCTCTGGTTATTAATTCATAATCCTGAAAGAAATATATTAATTAATTAATTTGTTCAAACTTTTATATTTTTTATAAGTTGATATAAAATTCTTCAGTTGGTAGTGCATGTATGTATAATCATGACTTCATATATATAAAGTTTCATCCTGTTATTTATGTTATATATGTATATTTAGAAAAATATATGATCCATATGTAATATAATTAATAATATTTACCTTTGTTTGTTTTGATGCAGAATACAGCTGTACTTAATTCATAAAAATCCTGAAAAATATATTAATACTATTAATTAATTTGTTCAAACTTCTCTCTCTCTCTCTCTTACAAACATAAATATAAAACTTTTCAGTTGGTAGTGCATGTATAGAAATAATCATGACTTCATACAAATAAAATTCATCATATTATTTAAACCTATCTGTAAAATGTGATATTTATAGTTTGTTTCAAATATATCAGATTAACATGTATTATTTGACCAATTTGAAAACAACTTATCAGTAAACAATATCAATATTAATTTACTTAATCTACAATATTTTGTACATAACTAAGATTGTGTATCGATATTTGACTAGTACAAGACTCATGTTAACTCATAATTAAAAAAAAGAAAATTAAATTTTCTCCATAAATTTTTTATTCACAGATCACTAAATATTGATGTGGAATATTTCTACAAAAATAGAATTATTATTAACAAGTTTTCCTTTCTAAATTCTTTTAACATCCAATATTTTTTTCATTAACTTTCAAAGATATTGATTCATATGGATATCATCTAGAATATTGTAATAGAAACAATTAAAAAAAAACTATTCATGTAAAGTTACAATAAAATTCTACTACTAAAGATAGACTAAAGATATATACGCAAAACAGACGATTGCAAGTGGATGCACGTGGATTATAATTTGCACAATGCGTATTGATCAGCCATTTCAATGTGGCTACTGAATTTCTCTTTACTTTAGAAAATAATTTTGCGAATAATTTTCCAAATGTTCAGGAAAGGATCATACGATAATTAAGACTCCACTTAATTATATATATCAAAGATACTAAATATTTTTCAATTCTTTTCTTAGGACGAGGTATACTCACTCTACTACAGTTCAGGAACTACAAATCAATGATGCCAGAATAAAAGTAGAAAATAGAATACGTACCAACATAAGAGATCCGCATATATATAAAGCCGGAGGCACACGTGCTTTCTGGATGTTTTGTTGCTGGATGGAAATACTCTATTTTGATTGGTGCATTTCTAAAGATGGATGGAAATGCACCAATCAGAACAGAATATTTCCATCCAGAACAAAACAAGCCGTGTGCCATTGGCTTTACAGTCAGTTCTATCTTCTTCTAGGCTGCGTTCTGAAATTCATTGCTAGTGCTGAAATTTTATAGTATACGTGACATGAACTATAGAATTTCATTACTGGCAGTGAATTTCGGAACGCAGCCTTAAGCCCATTCTACAACTGCGTAAGCTTAGTCGTGAACGCAGCCTTAAGCCCATTCTACAATTGCGTAAGCGTAGTCGTGATCATAAGAGTCAACCAATCCGAATGTTTTATTTACTGATTGCTTTATTCTGATTAGTGTCGTAATCACATACAACCACTTACAACCACGTTCACGCAATTGTAGAATGGGCTTTAGAGTACGCAAAGATAAAACAATACCTTGATTGGTTCTTTACTTTAGGTCGTGTTCCAAAATGCCACTGGCAGCACTGAAAATCTATAGTATACATGAAAAATCTATAGTATACATCTATAGTATACATGATATGAACTATAGTTTGTCATCGCTGGCAATAAATATTGGAACGCAGCCCAAGTATATTTGACAGAGGCAGATGGGAGTATTTTTTACTTTTCATATTTTGTTATTTATTTGTTATTGATAAGACAAATATTGACAATCACAAATATATGGATAAACCAGAACAATAATAAAGTGAATAAGAGCAATTAAAGGCACTCTCAGTGGAAAGACACAGTATGTATTTTTTCTTAAAATATGTATGTAATTTATCTTAAAACTATTGAAGAATCTATATACACTAAACAGAATTTATAAAAGAAGTTTTATTTTTAGATACCATCTTTTCAAATATTACTCTTAATGTTATTTCTTACATTTGTCTTATGTCCAGTATATTTTCTTTATTTGGTCCTTTTTTGTTATATGTTACATAGAAAATGGTAGATATAAGGGCTAATATTATTGGAGAAAATGATTCCCACTATGAGTCAAGGATTCGTGCCAACAGTTCTGGCACAGGAGCTTCAACACCATCATCTTCTTCTGATTATATGACAGGAGAAGCGGATGACAGTTCTGATAGCAAGGGAACTATTCCCTTTAGCTTAAAATCAGTGGAGACTACGCTTTCATTGTCTAAGGTATTAAATAATTTCCAAATATTGATATAATACATTTATCCGATACTTTTATTAGTACAATAATACTCATTTACGAAATAACTTTGATATTCTATATTTATATATTTAGATTGCATATATAGATACATCCACATATATCCTTGATCTATGTGAAGTACCATAATTATATAATTATTAGCTTTCATCTATTAAATATATTTAATGAATATTATACATTTGTTGTTATGTATGTAACAAATTAAAATATTTAATGACTTTATAATTGTTATAACAAAATAATCTCAAACAGATTGAGATAACTTATATTTTCTGACATTAATTCAGTGTGAGAAATTAAATAAATGTTGGAAAATATAAGTCCTTGATCTATTTGAAGTTACTGTTATAAGAATTATGAAGTCATTAATTATTTTCTGACATTATTTAAATATAGACAAAGATGATAAAAGAATCGAAAACGCTACATTCATTATTTCGTTTAGGATGCTTCTCAAGAGGATTTGCAAGAAATGGTGAACAAGTGCAAGTCAATGGTGCTGGAAAGCGCGGAATGCTCGGACGAACGCAAGTGGCTGGTCCGACGGCTGATAGAGTTGCGTTTACGCGCTCAAGAATTGCGCGAGACCTCGAATGAAAACCTATTTGAGACTCACGTGATTTTAGGTCATCACTTTGTACCGCAGAAGTATCACATCACCACGTCCGGTCCTGTTTACTGCGATCACTGCAGTGGTGCAATTTGGACGATGCTGCAGTCGTGGTACATGTGCAATGGCAAGTATTTCACGATCTCTTATGTATATGCTAATTACATTAATTAAGACTTCTAGCTCTTTGCTGTGAAAATCTTGATTGATGATTTCAGAAGCGAGAAAATATACCCTAAAAATTTTTGCAAAATATATTAAAATAAAAAGATGTATCTATAAAATGACCGTTTAAAATACTCCAAATATTTTCCTTTTGCTCTAACAATAAATAAATAAATAATAAATAAATAAGTATGTAAAGCCATACAATTAATGTGACAAAGTAATGAGGAAATATAGAAAAGGAAAATTACATATTATGTTAATTTTATGTCTGTTGATTGATTGATTTATTATTTATTTATTTATTTATTATTAGAGCAAAAGTATTTGGAGTATTTTTTAGGTGTGCTTAATTGATGGCGTGTCATTTTTCGGATATATCTTTTTATTTTAAGATATTTTGCGCACAGAAATTTTAAGTGTGTATTTTCTCGCTTCTGACGTCATCAATTAACAGTTCCGCAACAAGAGATCGTTAATGTTAAAACAAGAGATACGATCGTTCTTATCGTTTATGTCAATTAAAAGAACGTGCCATTTTACTTTTAGATTGTAAATTCTGTTGTCATTGGAAGTGTTTAAACAACGTGTGCCGTGTGTGCGTTCACGTGGTCGCCAGCGAGGCTGGCGGTTACACTCACACGAAGGACATTTGCCCAGAGCAAGGTCTGTCGAAGCAAGGCTATCGCTGTGCGGAATGCAAAACGCAAATAACATTCAGTAAGTTGATAAGTTTAGGTCAAACTATGTGTGTTGGTAAATTTTTGTTGATTGTCATCCGGCGAATAAAACAGATGTCTGCGTTATGTGTTCATGGAAGCTCGTTATTCCGTTTATTAGTACGTAAGTAGCGCAATTGCCTTAATGAGATAATAGTATTCTTGTCCTCTTGCAAGCTTTCTCAAAAGGATTATCGCTATCTTGCTTCGGCAGTTCCTTTAAGAATACAGGTATTCGACCTACGATATCAATGCATCGATGACATTATCAATATCAGACATGATAGATCGTATTTGCATGATCCACACCTTGTAGTTCCGCTTTTGTTTATCATACACAGATACTTATCACGCGCAATTGTATGAAGGAGACTCGAAGTAGCTCTTTTTCCGCGAAAAGATTTCACGAATGCGGAGCTACAAGGACTTATAATTACAGACAGATTACATTCTTCACGGTTGTACGTATCTCCGTTGAGATATAATAATAATATGTTGATAAGAAATAACGTTTTTAGAGTCAACGTGGGTGGAACCGCGTCTATGCGACTACAGTGGCCTGTATTACTGTCAAAGATGCCACTGGAATACAGCTATGGTGATACCCGCCAGAGTAATCCGGAACTGGGACATGGAACCACGTCTGGTGTCTCGCGCTGCGGCGCAGCTTCTGATGCTGTTAGAGGACCGTTCTGTACTGCCTCTGGAGGAACTGAACCCAAAGCTGTTCACTTTGGTCCCAGATTTGTCGCTGGTCAAGGTGAGTGACTTAGTTCCTGTGGAAACCAAAATGGAGTGGAAAAACAGATGTTATATTAATAAGATCGATAATATCAGAATGAATATCACAAGTTAACGATATATAAATACCTTAGCGAATGCGAGAAGAGATGCAGATGATGAAAAGATACTTGGTGTTGTGCGAGGAAGCCTGTACCCAAGGTTTACCGTGGAGGATTTGCTTGCGCACGCACATGATTGAGAATTCGGGTAACTATTCGATCAAGGACCTCATCGACCTACAGACCGGCGTTCTCCTAGACGAACTCCGCACCGCCTATGACACGATGCACTCACATATCACGGAGCAATGCGAGCTGTGCAGAGCCAGGTGAGCGTTTGGGCTTGGAGAAAGATGCGTTCCCTCCATTTTACGATGCGACTCGATTGAGATCACTAAGCGTATTGAAAAATTCTGCTTTTACAAAGCAAACTTTTGCTTCTCTTTTATAATTAAGTTCTTTTTAGCTAAACTAGTGTTACATTAGAACTTTATTTTTTCTCCTTAAATACCCAATGACATGATTATCTGAATCTGATATCTAAACGTAAAATTTTAATTTTTGCTGTCAAAAAAGGGTTCCTATTTAAAAAACCGAAGTTGATCTTAAAATAACTTTGACAGTGGCTGCTAAAGTCAAAGTCAAGGTCACTGTCAGATGTCCCCCTTCGAACCTTACTACTTTTGTCCGAAATATTTTTTCTGAAAATGCTTTTTTAAACAGATATTTTAGTATAACTTTTAAAATGGGACATCCTGTATAATAACACTTATAGTTATTATTATATTACATATTAAAATTTTCAGGGGACACCTATGCGAGATATGCGGCAACGACGAGGTTATTTATCCGTGGGATGCTAGCTCGATTATTTGCCAGCAATGCTCGGCAGTGCACCATCGTGTTTGCTGGTCTAAACGCAATCATTGCTGCCCGCGGTGCGCGCGTTTGCAAAAGCGCCGCGCTCTGCAGCAAGGGCAGGCGGCGCAAGACGGTGAGGAAGACTGTTGCGACACCGACGATACCGCGAAGGACACCTAAAAACACGGAAATTTACGCTGTATTGTGCATTTCTTGTAAAATGCGTTACATGGTCGCGCAAATGCCAAGGAACTACACTTTGTACCTGTTTACTTTTTTAAGCGTATCAAAGCAATTTCGCAGGCTGTTGTTTTTATAGATCGATTGTCGCATATGTATAATAACGTGCGTTCGATTGCGAATTTATACATTGTCTCGTGTGATCTTTTGTACATTTGTTCAAATATATAAATGAGACAAATTACGTACGTATAACATAGATTAGCGATATCATATGTGCGTGTTATATACTCGCGGCATGTGGGAGCGTTTTGTTTCTCGTTTATATGCAAACAGTGTTTTCATCGATTAAATGTCGCAAATTTACAGTTCATTGAAAAATTACATACTTTTCACGTTTCAACGCAGAAGAACACTTGTCGTTTATTAATCATCTGTCACGTATATGGTGCGTGTAATGTGCAGTTCCACGAACACCGCGCTGACATGATCGATCGGAAGAAAAAAACAAAAAGAAACAGGAAAAAGAGGAAAAAGTCTTGTCTCGCGGGCGATTAACAATGCGCATCGCTGATGTTTGATCTGCCGGTGCTGTCGCGCGTTTGGTGTTCCAGCAGTGTCAACGAATAAATGTCTAGTAAATTTTTATCTTTATTGTCTGTACTGATAATGCGACTGATATATGTGTTAATTCTTGGACACATCCTTGACATTTGCACAAGTGTCGAAGTGGTGATATTTGACTTGCTGCGCGCATCTTACGTACCCGCTTTCGTAGGATAAGATACCCTCGGAGGTACTTAAGCGAGGTGTTAAGTTGTGACTGAGCTGGAGCCAGAAACGAATTATCAACTAGTATATCAGGTGAGTTGACGCGACACGCGCGGTTTTGTTACAATTTTATCGGTTAAATTTAAAAAAAATATATAATTGTATGTTAAGTGCAAGGCGTAACGCTACCGCCCTTCATTTCGCAATTCCAATATCGTCGATCTTAATTTCACCGACGAACCGTCGAGGCTTTTGCGAAAATTCGCTACTTGAAGAAAAAGAGGTGTATTTTTTAAAGACAATTGTTAAATATTTGTTAATATTTCTAAATATTTTTTTTATAGATATGTATATATACTTTTTGTTAAATTATTCTTTTACTGAGTTTCTTTTAATCGTTAATGTGTTATCGGTTTTTTCAACCAGACTCCGAAACGTTTATAAATAAAAACGAGAACGCAAATTCGAATGCTCACGCGTAGATTGTACGCTTGTAAAATTATGAAATACACAACGAACTCGATTGGAAATAGTGTATAAACATTTTCGAACGATCCCCGTACTAGACATTTCACTTCGAGTGTTTTTCTGTTTTTCATTAACCGGGAGAAAACTTTCTTAAGAGACATTAACTACTTCTTCAATATGTAAAACTAAGGTTTTTGAGTTATCTCTTATAACTTGTTATTTTTGTAGTGCAATTATGATTATTAACGTTAACTCTTATTGCTTCACGTTATTTTAAGATGAATGTGAATCATCTCAAATTTTCGCTATTCCTGGTGGAATTTAACGAGCGCTAACATCAGATACGTAATGATTGAAAAATGTATCAAGGCCGATATCTCAATAGTAGTTTAAACTTAAATGTACATTATCTATTGCATCATTAATCTATATTTAAGGAGATACTGGATATCGAGATAATACTTGAAGCATTATGTTGATATCCAATATTCTCTTAAATGTTTACAGAATTCTGACAGAAGTAAAATTTTTTAGTAGTTGCCAAAATTGCAAATTGATAGAAGTGTGATTTTTTTTACATGTACATCTATTAAGTATATTTAATAGATGTACAATATTGATATAAAAAAATTAGATTTTATAGTAAATGTTATTAAATATTGTTATTTTAATTCTATTTTACAAAAGAGTCATACTGCAATGGTAATTATTCTGGTCTCAACTATTCTGGAGTGATCTGAGATCAGTATAAATACATTTTTTATTTATTAGGATAGTTGTCATGGAGTGGATTTTGAAAAGAACAATATTTCGCAAAATGGAAGTTATAAAGAATCCAATTTAATCTTCTCACTGAAAAATTCGATTTTGTAAAATATGTAAAAATATTGTAAAATATAAAAAAAAATAGTTTTGAAATTTGAAAGCGTCCGTGAGCCGATATAGATAATTATGATAAATATTTGTGTTAAACGTTAAGGCCTGACTCCACCAACGTCGATTGGGCCTTGATCTGAGTTTAAATCATTGTTTTAAATAGTTTAAACGTTGTTTAAGGCTTGATCGACGCTGGTGGAATCGGCTGGTCGAATCTAAGTTAATCGAATAAATTGTTCTCAAATTATTTCATTTCCTCGCCACGGCCATCTCGATTAGCGACATTAGAGATGAGAAAACACGTGCCCCAAATTCCTGCAAAATTCGTTGAAATAAAAAGATAGTCCATAAAATTATAGTTGACACATACAACTACACGATTTGGTCATGTTAATTTTACGACTATTTAAAGTTTTAAAAGTAAATGAAGTTTATTAAGTTAATACTTTTTAAATTTACAAATAGAGAGAGAATGTTTTCGGGATATTTGGCAAAAAATTTGCTTAATCGATTACGCCATTTTTTTTATAGACGCATGTTTTTATTTCCACGCATTCTGCAAGAATTTTCTCGCTTCTGACGTCACATGAAGATGATCGGTCTCAAATGGATTCTTATCATCGCATACCACAGAATGCTCTTCCGTAAATACTTTTGTTAAAAAAAAGAAAATGCTGCTACTCACAGGCATGCTATTTTCAGGCATGAAATATTCACACCTGCGACTAAGAATACGATAATTATATAAACAGCTACAATTACACACATTTATGATCTACTTGATCAGTCCTTGTGGCTAAACAAAAGGATCACTCGCGGAAGTGGTGATTGGGCCATTCGCTATTTTCTGCGCGCTATTGAATTCATTCTTTCTTCTCTCCTCAATCGTCTTTTATTCACAATGTGTCGTCATGTTACGTTGTCTTATATTAAGAGGACGGTCTCTCCATTCGTTTTGTGTAACATTTTATTACAGGTGGCTAAACAGCGAAATGTCGCATTTACGCTCTTTCTTGCTTGTCCTCGGCGTCGTCGTCTCCGGACTTGCCAACGATGATGTCTGTAACGAGAAGGTGGCACCTGGTTCCGAGCTTGGTACACTATCGTTTCTTGAGCGGAGAATGAAAAATGGGCAAGATTTTAACGAATGGACGAACAAATGGTGGCCGTTCAAAATGGAATCTGAGAAGGCGAATATCTCTCCGTTAAACTTCGCTGATGCTGTAAATACTTACAACAGTCTCCCCAATGTAGAGAAGGCTTTTATTCCACCAGGTAGGTAGAAGCTATTATTCATAATCAAAGATTTCATAGAGGGAAAATTCTAAAGGTACTAAAAATAAGCTTGTCACAAAAAAATTATTCTCCGCATATCTCAACTAGATACACGTGAGAAGTGATTTTTATCGCACACCTGATAGAACACTTCACTAATTATCCGCAATTTAAAATGTTCTTAACACGTTGCTAATATCATTCAGAAAACAGAGATGCTAATATTATTATATCGTTCAGAACACTCTTCGCGAGAATTTGCAAGTTTGTCATATCTGCAAGATAAAGAAATCAGGACTAAATTTCGCAATTTTGAGAAGGCGCGAATAAATATTGATATTAAGTAGAACTTAATCGGTCGTTAAAAGACTTAATTAAAGTAATTATTTTCTAAAATTAAATAAAGAAGTTTTAAATATAAAGAAGGAGGGTCTCTAAGGCCGGTTTTTGGCACCCTCTGAAATTGATCCAAAAATATCAGAAACGTTATATTTTTATAAGAACTATTGAAATAAAATTATTTTATTCTAAACGGACATATTGGTGCCTGCTTATACTATAATTCTAATTAATCCCATTTTTATCACCAATGCTCTTATGTCACCCACATATCATCAAGATATATATTTATATTTACATACACACACCACGCGCGCATTGTGTATCGTTATTAATTGACACTGTCGTTTGTTATCGCTTTTCTCTATTTTCCCAATAATGATGTCAGGACTGAAATGGTGTGGAGATGGAGATCGGGCGAAAGATTACGAAGATCTCGGCCGCTACAAGGATACAGATATGTGTTGCCGAGACCATGACCACTGCAAAAACAATATGGTCGCCAATGGAACGTTAGAAAATCTCAAGAATAACGGTCCCTTCACAAGGTTTGAAAGAAACTTTATAACGCTTATGTTATTTTTACAATTATAGATTGTGATTATAATTTACTAATTATATTGCGTACAACATAGCTCTTGCTACGTGTAAGTTTATATCATAATCGTACTTACAATACTACTACTAATCGAACTATTAGACATATCCCAGACAGCACAATGTCCAAAATCAGGTCATAAGACGTCTTTAAGACATCTTTAAGACAAGTTTATAAGGTATTGTTTTAAAGATATCTTAAAGACATTCTAAAGATGTCTTATGACTCGATTTTGGATATTTTTGCTGTCTGGATGTTTTGACTCTATCGCAACTCTCTAACGACCACTATAGTGGCCATTCGCGAAATTTATAATTTCACAAATAATTTAAAAAAAAATCATAAAATATGTGATGCAACAAAGCAACTTTCAAAAATTTGTTAAGTCTTTATCCGTTGTATAGTACGTACGCGCGGCCCATTCGTCCTAACCCAATAATCTTTAATTAGGATCTGTTGCGATCTCCAGCGAGTCAAGCTTTTGTGATTTTCTTTTGACAGATCCGCTTGTTACTGTGACTTTGAGTTTCATAAATGTCTGAAAAAAGCCAATAGTTTTATCGCCAATCGGATCGGAAAAATGTACTTCAATACATTGGGACCGCAATGTTTCAGTTGCATATGTCCGACAGATGAATGCAAGTAAGTAAAATTGTAAAGATAAATAACATGTTATTTATTCTATTTAGTTATTTATTTCATTTAGTTTTAATTACGTTCAGTTAATGTTCGTTAGTTAAAAGAAACATCAATCGAATATAATTAAACGTAATTTTCAGGGAAGACGACAAGACAGAGTGCAAGGACAAATGCATCAGGTACAAATGGATCGATGCTCTAAAGTATTAAGCTAATAGTTGCAGTAAAACTGGCGCTGAGTTCTGGAATGATCCCTGCATTTAATGGGGCTGTAAAAGTCCATAAAAGTAATTCTGCCTAACTTTATCCAAAATCTGAATAAAGTCAGGTAGAACTATTCTTACGAATTTAGAATGTAATAAATGCACCTGCAATTTGTTAAACTGCTTTCACTCTTAACAAACTCTTGTCTTGATTAGTGACCTTACGTTCTCGAAAATGCGCAATCTCGCCTAAAAACAATTGTCATTCTAGCGACTAACAAAAGACCATGATGTTTTTTTTATTAAGATTGGCGAGAGTAAATCGATCTACATCAGTTTCCTTGTTTGTTTGAGCTTTTAGAAGCTATTAAAGCATATATATTCTGCTGTAAAGTTATATTAATCATTGTACAATGTTATGCAAGTACGATGTATATAATGTAAATAAACTAACAACTTGAGCATCATAGAAAATTATGCACATATTTTATTTAATCTTTTCTACCACTTTTTATTGTTTACTATTTAACTTTCTATTAACAACTTTTTTTTAACTTTTCTATTAACAACAAATATAATTTGTATATGAGCCACATTACTCCACTGAGAAAAAATGTATTAAATTTCAAAAAACGTTTGTTTTTATATATTTCTGAACATATTTGTTTAAATTAAGTAATTATTCTCTAAAATTAAATAAAGAAATAAAGAAATAAAGAAATAAAGAAATAAAGAAATAAAGAAATAAAGAAATAAAGAAATAAAGAAATAAAGAAATAAAGAAATAAAGAAATAAAGAAATAAAGAAATAAAGAAATAAAGAAATAAAGAAATAAAGAAATAAAGAAATAAAGAAATAAAGAAATAAAGAAATAAAGAAATAAAGAAATAAAGAAATAAAGAAATAAAGAAATAAAGAAATAAAGAAATAAAGAAATTTAAATATTTCTTTGATTTAAATATTTTTTTTAAATATTTAAATATTTAATATATAAAAGTAAATTTAATAATATATATTTAAATATTTTCTTTATTTTTTATTTAATATTTAAATATTTGTTTTAAATATTTCTTTAATTTTAGAAGATAATTATTTAATTTAAACAAATATATTCACAGTTGTATTCAAAAAAACGTTTCTTGAAATTAATAAATTCTTTTCTCAGTGTTCTTTGTTTTATTTATCACTCTTTCGTTTACCTGTTATCAATATATTTCATTTAATTTTCGACCGTTCCCTAAATGTTCGCAAAAAGATATATCACGGATTTTAAAATAAATCATCCGATGTCTCTTGAAGTCACTTGAAAGTAATAGTCTAGTATAACTCGATCGTATTTTTCAGCGGCACGCCTCTTTTAATGTAGTGTGGTATCGTTTTAGGAACCATGCTAAAAGATAAAAATGGCAATAAAATTTGTTGATTATAATAATCAGGGATAAAATTAAGACTGAATGTGTATCAATTTGTATTTTGAACTCACGTGATGCAGTCGATAATCGGGCATACGGATAAACAAAGTGTGCAGCCCGTACAATCGTCCGTCACTTTAGGGATGTGAGTGTCAGAGTCGAAGGTGATCGCTTGGTATCCAGAATCCGCGCAGGCCATGTAGCACTTCCCGCAATTAATGCACATATCCTGAAAAGAACGACAGATCTTTAGCACTCAGTAAACAAGAAACGTTAGATTAGCGCCTTGAGATATTTATTTCATGTGTGACTCTTGAACATTCCGCTTAACAATATCAATTCTTATAAGATTTTATATATATATATTAAATTAAGTATTAATATCAAATAAATAAATATATATATATATATATATATATATATATATATATATATATAATGAAAATTGTTAAATTTAAATTATTAAATATTTATTAATATTAAAAATTAATATATTTTCTAAATGTCCCAAAAAATACTATCGTATAATACGATCTTCTCAAACATTTTAGAAACATTGAAATGTCAAAGTTGTTCGTAATGATATTGATATAACGCAGAAAAGCTGCATACCAGAAGACATCACACGTTACTGAATATGTTAGTAACGTGTGGTGTAATAACGTTTTATTGATAATTACTATATAACGCAACGTCTAAAATCGGGACATAAGACATCTAAAAGGCGTTTTAAAGACGTCTCTCAGATGTTGGAATATAAGATGTCCCTAAGATGTCTTTAAGACGTCTTTAAGACGACTTATGTCCCGATTTTAGACATTGTGTTGTATGGGTTTTATGTTCACGCGACAGATAAAAGAGGTATCACTTTACGTACATCATCGATCAAGGCGACGACTTGCTTCTTGTTGTCCAATTCTTTGTAACTGCCGATATTGGTTAACGCTTTGCCGATTACTTCCTTAACACTAGGTATCGATGCAGTCGGTGCTGGAGCCGGTCGCGTTACTTCCACGACTCCGTCCAAAGGATTTGAGCTTGCTTTCAGCTCGGCTATCTTCTTCTCGCGCAGCTTTTGATATTCGCCGAAATATGGCACATTCTATAGAAAGAAAATTAGACTAGATACAACGAAAGGACAATTTGAAAAAATGTCACAGGCGTCAAACAAGTAAGATATGACGATTTTTCGATGGAAATAAGAATGCTGACGTAGTTAGCACTTACATTTATCGACTACTAATGCTTCGCGCTCTAAAATCAACGATTAAATGATAAAAACGTAACACTTACTTTGCCAAGAGCATGTTGCAAGGAGACAGGCTTGCCTTTCTGATGTTTAAACGTCGGTGGACTCTGACCATCCCAATCCTTTACGTGCGCTAGACTTTTCAGGTATAATAACGTTTTCAAGCCGGTCACATAATCGTCTATTAAAGTGAAGTCTTGATTCTGAATAGCGCTGCCGATCTATGTATTTTATATATGTATGAGTAATGTTCCATGTAGGTTTCTAATCATTTAATTTAATAACAAATGAAATTAAAAGTAGGATATACAATCAACAAAAATTTCGTTATAAAGATTTATAAGAACCGAACGCAGATTCAAAATGCGTATGTTATAAATAAGAATAATTTGTCTTAATATAACAAGTTAATCATAAAAAAGCATGAAATTTATACTTTTTTTTATACATTGGAAAGAATCCAAATTAGGAACGTTTATAATATTGTAATATTTTATCATGTCTGTTTCGTTGTTATATTTACTCATTATATTTAATCATATTTACTCAAGCATTTACTTATATTTGTAATATAATCAAAATATATGGACAAAATCCGTATATAATCGTATATAATGATATATATTTTTATATATGATTATACATAAACTTTTTTCCCCGAGTCGCGTTCGGCTCTACTAGGCCTTAGTAACGGCATTTAATTTAATCTCCGGATTCCTGTCTCAATAATATTCGGGTAAAGCCGCAAAGTGTAACTTACCTGGACGACCGTTGCACCACAATGTAAGAACTGCAGGACGGTGTCAGCTGAATCGATGCCGCCGATACCGAGTATTGGAAATCCAGGAATCTTCTGCGAGATCATCGAGACAGCTCTCAGAGCTTGGGGTCTGGTAGCATTCCCCGATACTCCACCATACGTGGTGAATTTGGAGTCAACCGCCGGCCACGGCGTTGCGTCAGAACGCAACCCCATTAATCCTTGCACGGTATTAATCGCGGAGACGCCGTCAGCTTTGCCTATATCGAGCGTCGTATGAATTAAGTAGACATAGATCTTTTGCACTAATCTAATACACTGAGAAAAAAATTTACTAAATTTCAAAAAACGTTTGTTTGAATAGTTTGTAAAGATATTTGTTTAAATTAAGTAATTATTTTCTAAAATTAAATAAAGAAGTTTTAAATATAAATTTGTTTCTTTAATTTTAGAAAATAATTACTTAATTTAAACAAATATCTTCACAGTACTATCGAAACAAACGTTTTTTGAAATTTAGTAAATTTTTTTCTCAGTGTAAATATCTTTGAAGAATAAATCTTTATCCTCCTTTTTTTATTCATTAAAGTGTGTCTCGATTCAATTTTGCGGAAACTTTCAATTACCCTCGTAAGCTGCTTTGGCAATCGAAACTATGTCGGTGATATTGGGTGTTAATTTCACGAAGAACGGTATTTTCACGGCTTCGCGAACCCATCTGGCGATGTTTCTAACCAGTTCGGGATCCTGCAATCCAAATCAGTTGCAATAACTCAGTCTAAAATTTTTATTTCTTAATTCATGACAAGCACACCTGTCCACAAGCCAGACCCATTCCGGACTCTCCCATACCATGAGGACAGGATAGATTCAATTCCAAAGCATCAGAATCGGCTGCTTCAGCTTTCTTCGCCAGTTCGATCCAATCCGCTCTGTTGTACGTACACATGATACTTGCGATAACGATCTACGCAAAGATATATAACAAATATCAAATAGCTAAGAGATTATCGTCACATCAACCATTAATTTATAATTATATAATTTCCTCGCGCGCGCTAATGTATTTTATAATTTCATATCATATTAGTGTAATAATAAGATAATAAATATAATAATAAATAAATCGATAATAAATGGATATAAATAACAAAAAATTAATGCAATCAGAGAAGTAGTATACGTACTTTTGTGGGGAAGTCCCGTTTCAATTCCGTAATACTTCTGCACCAATAATCAGAGGTTTTCTCAGATATCAGCTCGATGTTTAAGAAACTACCCTGTGCGGGTCCATAATGATGACCAGACGTCGTGCCTTTGATGATGCGCGGCGACACATTGGTGACATGATCCTAAGAGTCGAAAATAAATTAAAGAAACGAAACATCACTTGATATTATTTTGTAGTCTGACAATGATTATTTCGTTAGGTACTTTGTCCAGGGAGAATGTCTTCGTGACTGCGAAAGCCCAACCGGCCTCGAAAGCGCGTCGAATCATCGCACTGCTTGTGCAAGGTGGTGCAGAGGCTAAACCGAAAGGATTCTCGAATTTCATGCCGCACATTTCGACGCTCAAGTCGACCTCGTCAATGGCAGTATGGAATTTGGGTAATTGCGGGGTTTCTGGTACCGTTAAACCGTGGGATTCCTGAAAAAGAGATATGAAAGAGTTGCTTTGTTAGTGATGTAAATTATTCCGCTAATTTTGAGGAATAAAGAAGCAAACAAATATATATGAATAAAATTTCACTTTGTATAACCTGCAACTGCACTGAGATGTAAGTGCCGATACAGGCGGATTTGTTTATATTACATGAAGATAAAAGTACCAATTTTCGCACACGTATCTAATTCTGAACATTCTTATTGTTTTGAATTTTAAATACGAATATTTAAACTTTTAACATAAAATATGTACGGTCAATACTTGTATATATATTTTATGTTGAAAGTTCAAATATTTATATTCAAAGACCAAAACAATAAGAATATTCCGGATTATGCCGGACATCGATACTTTCATTTTATTTATATTACCTATTAGTTAATTTCTTTAATTTTTTTATTATTTAATTTATTTTACCTCATTTATATCAAACTTGTCGTTACCTGAATTCATTCGTCATTTAACGATGATGTTCTAACAACGTTTAGTTTCGAATAAAATTCTAAACTTTCGCAAAATTCCAAATAAATAGTTTGCTGTAATTATTACAACGTAATATTATAATGAGAAGTAAATGACACGCACCTGTATGTACTTGTGAATATACCATGCAGCTGTCTTCCCGTCATTCACGGATTCCACGGTCGTCTCAGAGACGCCGGCAAGGTCTCCTCCGCAGAACACACCTGGCACGGACGTCGTCATTGTGGTCTCGTCCACTTCCGGCAAGTTCCACTTGTTCATCTTGACGGGCGCCATGGCATGCTTGACTGTTTGCATAATATCTCGTTATTTGTCTGAAATCTCTCTTTTATTTGCTTTGTTCTCGATTGATGAACAATTACCTTTTTAATTGATTATCATATTTAATTGACGGTTAATATAAGTCAATTCAATCGAATGGTGATTGATATGAACATTGATATGAACTTCAATTTCAGTGTTTAACTAATACGACACATCAGGGGGTTACGAGTTACTAATTATCTTTCTAATTAATTATCGTGTTTAATTGACGGCTAATATAAGCTAATTCAATCGAAGACGTTCAATTGACAATCTATTTCAACAAATTCAATTGAAAACCGTTCGATTAGTCGTAGTTAAACACTAAAATATTGATTAACAAAATCGCTCACCAGAGGTATCGTACAATCCTGAACCGAAAGCCGAAATCACAAAGTTCGCTTTCAATTTGAACATTTGTTCTTCGTCCTCTATCCATTCGCCATTCTCGTCCTGCTCGGTCCGACAAAATTCAATTCCGACGATCTTCTTGTTGCGAAGGATGACCCGTTTCGGCGATTGAAAAGATATGAATTCGCATTTCTCGTCTTTCGCTAGATCAACCTGAAAATGATTTCTGTGTTTTCAAAGTTTCATATTTTAACAGTATTAAACTCTAATGACCAATTTTTAATAGTAACACACTTATAAGTTCAGATTTAAATTTCAACTTTGTTTAAATCACTGAGAAAAATCGGCTCTTAAACTTCTAGAATTAATTCTTTGCGGTCCTATGTCAAGTATACCTTGACACTGCGTTTCTAGTCAATTCTATAAACCAACATTTCATTAATTAATAATATACATAATATAAATATATTATTGTAAATATATGTGTCGCAAAGTTGTGAAAATATTATTTAAATTTTTTTCAATTTAATAATTCTAATAACTTGAACAAATGTTTCAATTTAACTAATTAACAATTAATTCAAATAAAATCAACCAAAGTATATTTAATTCACGATTGATTTCAGTGAATTCAACTAAAGACAGTTAAAGAAGGGTCTTCGATTAAATTTGTTCAAATCGATTGTCCATTGAACCATCTTCGTTTGAATTGGCTCATATTAACCGCCAATTAAATATGATAATTAATTAAAAAGGTAATTAATAAGTTGCAACTCTGATGTGTCGTATTAGTTAAATATTGAAATAAATGTTAACTATACGGTATTATTGCGACATAAATGAATTTCTACAGACTAGCTGAGAAGAGAACAGTCATACACAATTCGCATAGCAAATAATGTTAAAGGTCTTTCAATTGCAATTTTTAAATTCTCAGGCTTCTAATTCAGAACGAATGTAATGTCACAATGTTATGTAAAAATTCAACTGATTAAAGTTATCGTTCTATAATAACAATTGATGATTACCTCTTCTGGAACTGCTCGGATATTGGTGAAACCTTTCCGGAAAACTACGAACACCTTCCTGGCTCCACATCTGAGCGCGGAAGTGGCGCAATCAAAAGCGGTATCTCCTGCACCGAGAACGATCACGTTGCCACGAAGAGATGGTAGTTCCTGATAACTCTTGCAAGCACACATCCCCGGTTTGCTGCTTTTTGCAACAGCAGGCAGAAAATTCTTCGAAGTGAAGAAACCCATCTCCGGCGTAAGATTCTCAAAGATCGGTATACTATTCGGCTCGGGTAAGCCGATTCCTAGGAAGATCGCTTTGTATCCAGCATTTTGCAGTCCCTAAATTATCTCAGATGTTTATTATTTGTGTTGCTAACATTAACCGAAAATTATATAATATTCATTTCTTTAATGAACAGTACCCTTATAGAAATATCATATCAAGAATCATTGATAATTACTTATTATCCAGTATTTTTAATACTGAAAATAAGTAATTATCAATGATTCTTAGTATGATATTTCTATAAGGGTAGAAAGTAAACATTTTTGTTATAAATTTCACGTTGCATTTTTTTACTCATAAAACTACATTCTTTTGCAACACTTTCATTTTACACGAAAATTAATTTTACCTGTATCGTAAGATCGTCCTCGCACAATGATCTCCCTAACTCGATCTTCACATCTAAGTCCCTGACGAGATCAGCCTCAAAATTGACGACGTCGTACGGAAGTCTGTACTGCGGTATTTCAGAGGAGCTTAATCCGCCAATATACTTTTCTCTCTCGAAGATAGTAATGTCGTCGTAGCCGAGTCGAGCGAGAAACGTCGCACAGGAGAGAGAGGCTGGCCCGCAACCGAGCATGGCGATCTTCGTGTTCGCATGAGGTACCGTTTGATTAGGTATTCTGATTTGTGGAATATTCATCCGTTTGAAAATCTGAAAGGGCAATCGATATATAACAATGTTACGCGCATTTATGTAATACATTTTACATTATATTCGTCATATGTTCTAATGAAAATTTTTGAGAAATGTAAATATATCAATTATTTTTGTATTAAAAAATAGTATCAAAACAGACATCGGTTGCGTCCAGCAGAAGTCAGCGCTTAATATTTATTGTCTTTGATTAATTGTTATTTTGAATTTATCAAAGATATAAAAAATATATAAAATATAAATATACTTTTAAAACAATATATAAAATATATAAAATATAAATATACTTTTATATTTTCGATACTAATATTGTGCGTCAATCAATTAAATTTTTAAATGTCTGAAATCATCGCCAATCAATAATGAAAATTAATCAATTCTCATATATGTAGTAAAAAATAATTTAATCAATTGATAGCATTAATTATTAATCAGTGTATATTTAATCGAATCAAAGTTTGATCAATAATTACTGTCATCAGTTATTCGTGATTACATGTATGATGATTGATTAATTTTGATAACTGACTTGCCGACTATTTCAATAAACTTTTAATCGATTAATGCCTAATACTGTTTGACATATCTAGAAAATATAAAAATATATAAAATATAAATATACTTTTATATCTCTTTGATAGATTCAGAATGTCTGACAAAAAGTCCATATATATATTTTGATTCCTGCTGATTACAATCAATGCTATACAATATCGTGTACATCAATCGCGAAGTGTTGAAGACCGCCGATGTTGATCGGTCCCTCCTCAGTCGCGTAGAGATTGCATCCGCCCACGCAAAGGTCGCTGGTCGGGCAAACCATGCCGCAGGTGAGACCAAGTGGATTGTCAGAGAGAATCGCTTTGGCTGCGCCATAGTAATTTTTATTAGAGATGGAGGTGATGAAGGACTTGATATCCAATTGCGTCGGGCAGGACTTTTGGCAAGGAGCGTCGACGCACTTTAAGCAACGCGCCGCTTCCTTCAAAGCTCCACGCTCGCTCAGAGTGGTATGCTTGATGTCATCGAAATTCTTTGTCAAAGACACGCAACTCTGAAAGAGAAATAAGAAATTTTAAAGTAGTTCTCGATGAACTAGTGAAATATTATTTCAGAGCATTTTGTACTGTTTCGCCTATTATATAAATTTACGATATATATGGTTATATGTCTTGCACGCAGATCGAGAGTGTTGATTTTACGAATTATATCACAGATGCCATAAAAATTTTAATCGTCAGCTGCAGATAACGAAAACAAAATATCAAATCCAATTTAGATTACTATCAGCTGATAATTCTCTAATCTTCTGCCTGATGAAAAAGTTTATATATAAATAAAAATAAAATTTATATATAAAAATATATATGATTATGTATCATTGTATATAAATGTATCATTATATATAAATGTATCATTATATATAAATGTATCATTATATATAAATTTTTTTTATCCATACATGTGACCTTACATATCTAATTATATATGTCCATGTATAAAACAAATACTTTTGAATGAAAAAAAGAAAGCATAATTTGATTCAATTAAATGCCGACATCATGAGCTACCATAAACTTAAGCATTTACTTCAATTATATCTCTACAACAGCATTCTTTTCAATGTGAACATATATTAATTATACAGGGTGTTTCAGACCACCCGTATCACCCATTTAAAATAAAGGGATCAACATTTTATTAAAAATTCAAAATATTTTTTCACTAAGTCGAACACGCTCTATTAAATGGTGCTATATTCAACTTCCACTATTGACCGGAAGTGGGTTGTTTAGACCGGAAGTTTAGTTTTTTAAATGGAATACTCTATTTTTTTGCAGATGTAGATTCTACGATAAAAAATACGAAACTTATGTTTGAAACATTTTTTTCCGAAAATGTGTCCACCGATCTTGAAATGACATCGACCTTGAAAGTTTATCAGCTACCAAACCTCTTAAGAACTTTCTAGCCACAGTATGATAGTCGCCTTCGTATGATTTGACTTTCTAACATACTCCAAATACCGAAATAAGTACTTCTACTTAAGTATCTTACTTTCAATTCTTCGTGTACTCCAATCATATTCCAATCATACAAAAGTTTCTAAAAGTGGACTGACTAAGGTTGGAATCGGGACAATAAAATGAACTTTTCAATCAAACATAATTTTATTATTTAACTTTTCGTTATAGTCGGAATTTAGTAACAAACTTAACATGTAAAAGAATTGATACTTGTCTTTTACATAATGGAGCTCACATTAAACATTTAGCCTAGACAAGATTTACTAATTGAATAAAAATTATATACATGTTAAGTTTGTTACTAAATAAATATTAAGTTTGTTACTAAATTCCGACTATAACGAAAAGTTAAATAATAAAATTATGTTTGATTGAAAACTTCATTTTATTGTCCCGATTCCAACCTTAGTCAGTCCACTTTTAAAAATTTTTGAGTGTGATTGGAGTACACGAAGAATTGAAAGTAAGATACTTAAGTAGAAGTACTTATTTCAATACTGAATCTGCAAAAAAAGAGTATTCCATTTAAAAAACTAAATTTCCGGTCTAAACAACCCACTTCCGGTCAATACTGGAAGTTGAGTATAGCACCATTTAATAGAGCGTATTCGACTTAGTGAAAAAATATTTAGAATTTTTAATAAAATGTTGATCCCTTTATTTTAAATGGGTGATACGGGTGGTCCGAAACACCCTGTATATGATCATATGATTACTATATATGGACAAAATCCATATATGAACTTTTTCTCTCAGGCTATCTTCTCTATATTAATGTATACTTTTCACATTCGAATATTTTTCGCGTCGTCTGCAAGCGCGATTACGATCTAGGTAAACATTGTAAATAGAATAAGATTGCATAATATGGTTGCAAATAATTTCTAAAATAATGCATTACGCAAATCGTAACTTTCTCGGTCGAATTACTTTGCGCGTAATAAACAGGGTGTCCCACCTAAATCAGGTCACCTAAATATCTCTATCAATTGTGATGATACAAAAAAATATTTTATACGTAAATTGAATGGTATGAAGAAACCAATATGTTGCAAAAAATATTATTTTTTTTAAATCATATATATTTCGGAGTTTTCAAAATCATCGACTTTTTGCATATAAATGCATATTTTTTTTATTGCATTATGTAGCTGATGTTAAAATATGTTCAAATATGTACATGACATTAACTTTAACTGACGAAAATTAAAATGAAATTAGTGCTATTGCACTACAAATGACCTCTGAAAGCCTTAAGACTTAATCATTTCCAAGCAATTTATCAGTTTATTGATCTATCATTCGTGATGAGTTACTCAAAGCAAGAGAAAATTGAAGGAGATATTTAGGGGGGACACCCTATATATTTCGAGAAAATATCATATAGTAAAATACGATAAGTGGTCATAAATCTTTCATATCAAATCATATATTATACGTATCGCCAAAATTGATGACATTTTTTCTCGGTCACTATATCTAAGCAGATAATCAAGACCTTGAAATATCAACTTCGATTAAATTATATTGTATCGAACATAGCTCTGGTATATCTATATATCTTAATTTCGTCGAAGCAATAAATGCAATCTAAACGATCTTACTCCACATTTATCGTAGATGTTTCTCTTCCAATGCTGTTTATTTTGTTTGGTGCGCGCCGATGGTACAAAATTTGTGTGTCTCTTTAACCTTGGATTAATGTCCAGCAGACTCTGAAAATTGAGATTAACTATTGATTATAAACATTGATTAAAAACATAATGTCAATAATGTCATAGTTCTTATTGGGTGAAGATAATAACAGTTCAAAAGATAATTGAAAGATATGAGAAGTAACATTAAAAGAACATAAAAAGACATCACAAGTTGATTTTATATATTAAAGTATTGTTAAAATTGATATCAAATGTAAAAGATTCAAATTTTAAAATATCCTTAAGAAGTTTTTATAAACGTTGTTAATTATAAAAACAAAGTATCAATATTGTTTTATCATAGTTCTCTACGAGTCAAGATAACAATAGTCCACAACACATGCAATACATGCAATGTATACATGCAACAGTTTAAAACTAATTTAAAAATATAAAAGATAACATTAAAAGAATATAAAAAAACATCACAAATTAATATGACACACGGAAAAAAAAATTTGGTTGAATTAACCAAGTATCTGGTCGAATATAAACGATCCAGAAATTCCGATTGAAGTAATTAGAATTCTGTTTAAGTCAACCAAAAATCTTATTACCTTAAATAGAATTTGGGTTATTTGCCAATATTTTTTTTTGTATTTTACGGAATTTGAATTACAGATGTCGAAATGTGTGACGTTCTGCGAGTCTAGAATTTACACTTACCTCGATATCAGGCACATCTTTGCTTAACATTGACAACGATGCCATATCTCACGTAACGTATTACCGATTTGCACTATTATGTAACAAGTTTACGCGGCGGATTGCTGCGGCAAACAAAATTCTTGGAATGCGGCAGGTTCGAAGTGACAGGTAACTGAAACAACTCGCCTCGAGTTTACCTGCCGCAGAGAGCGCGACAAATGTTGCCGAGATACTGATAGGCACTTGAGATGGAAAATCTGACTGTCCACTCAGACTGCGCTGACTGGTGCGCGTTCACATATTAGATATGACGTGTGCTGATAACTTGTAATGTACATTAATGTACACAAGATAAATAACTTGGAAAAACATCTAGCAGGCACTGAATATGTATAAAGATACTATATGTATATCACACTATACACACTATGTATAGAGAGTGATTTTTTGCTATCACAACATTCCAAAGAAATGGGATCGACTTGTTTAACACGACCCAGACAAATTTCCGAAAGACACATTATTCTTTTAAATATGATATTTTAAGCTTTCGCGAAACATCGGAATCAAACAAAGAAGAATCCACGCGGCTCAAACTTGGAAACCAAATCTAATATTCTTCTAAATATCTTTTAGAAATTTGACTGTTTCGAGATATTCTTATCGTCATTTTATTATTTGATATCTACAGCAAAATATTTTAGGGCAGAAAAATACGGAGGAAACTTTATTCGTAATTTATACAAGATGTATGTTTACCGTAGCAGTATTTATACAAGATGTATGTTTACCGTATCATCTGTATTTTTACCAGTTACAATAATTGGACAGGAAAATCTTTTAGATGCGATTAATCAGTTTTTAAATGGCAATAAAATGCAACAATAAAAAATGAAAACAAATAAATAATATAATACAAGCATAAAGAAATATAAATATAAATAATTAGATATCGTATTAATTAGGATATATAAACTTATATATCCTAATTGATACGATATATAAGACTTTATTATAATAGTTGAAACGTTGTGCTACAGAAAATGGATTACATCTAGAACATGTTCTGTGTTTTTGTAAACATTTAATATTATTCATTACATTATATTTCAAACATTATCGCAATTTTAGTCTGAATTTTTACTGTTAAATGTCAGTAAATATAACACTATAAGATAATATTGAATTTGTTTTGATTTTTTTTACAACATTATGAATAAAAAATGACATAGTTTCATTTAAGAAAATGAAAATAACCTTGATTTTCTTACGCAAAAAGTTTTCAAAAATTTAATTATTGCATCTTATTGCTGTTTAAAAACTACTTATTTATATCAAGAATTTTTTTGTCCGATCATTGCAACTAACAAAGAAATAGTGGATGTCGTTATAATGAACATGTTGTAGAAACGAGTTTCTATCTATAGAATAGGATACACACTTAATGGACTTACATTATCAAATCGTATAAACACTTACACTCATGCTTACGTTATGTGCAAGTTAAACTTTGAAAGTAGAACATCTTGCGACGATGTTCGAAATGAGCGAGTTTCGCATTAACTGAGTACTAGATATGTCAAATTGTAAAGTGTTATTCATATCCACACGCAATCATCACGTTAGAACGCTGTTTGCTTTATCTCGTCGTCCCACGGAAGTCTACTGTCTGCTTTGACAGCAGACAGTAGAAATTGCACGAAGTAATCTCGCGCGATTAATTATTTCTAATGTCCATTACACATCGATTGCTTTCGTAATTGTAGACAATTCAAATTTTAATAGGAAACGCGGCTCGTGAATTGCGTGCGGACACGACAGGAGCGGAGGGTACGTTTGATTACAAGCTTCAGCTAAAGCGGGTTTGCAATTTCTGTCTCAGAAATTCCGATGTAATTTCTTGTGAATTAGAGGACTGCGTCTAATATTACGAAAGCACATTAATTTTATCGATTCTAAGGACGAGAGAACATACGTTCTCATGGTACATTGTATTGCTTCGTCTCCGTAAATTGTTACGGAATTATCGTCGGGTTCGTGAGACAGAACGTCACATAATAAGAAGAAATAGCTGCAGTTTCACAAGTGACTTTTACATTTCTCATATATTAAATATAGTATGTTATATAAATTGTGCATACTGGAACATACTGGAACATACTGAACATATGATAAACAATTGATTTTTTAAACCAAATTCGAAGTATTCGTGAGGATTTTTGTCTTGTTTTCGGTCGGAAGACGATGTCTTCCAGTCGCGAAATAACGAAAGAACGAGGAACAATCGCGCCGAATTTTCACTTGCGGGTGAGCCTGTCGATCATCTACTTTTTAGGCACATGGCCACCACTTACGGGAAAGTATCGACCTCTGTATTTACTCTATACCATCTGTATCTTCACCTTCATGCTAGGTATCTTCCTCGTTACCGAAATAGCGAATATGCTCTTGAACTTGGGAGACCCTGCGAAGATCGTCGCAGGTGCGACTTTACTCATGACGAATTGCACCCACGCTTCCAAGGTAAACGCGATCATTCTGACCGTCGACAGTACTCTTAAAATAGTGGATATAAGTATATATATATATATATATATATATATATATATATATATATATATATATAT